CCATGCTATACAACAAACGCGTTATACGCGATGGCGAATTTACAGAATTTCATTCGCGCCATTGAAAACGCGACCGATTACCGAGCAACATGCGTTCTCCCGCGTCTGCATCACCCGGGATATCGATCAGAAGAGGGCGAACTAATCGTTGTGTTCAGACGCGAACGCACGAACGGAAAAGCACGGACGGACGTTGAATAACAGCCTCTGCGAGAACGGAACGTCGTCGATGGGAATAAAAGTTGAAGCGTGTGCCCTGTTACGAGTTGCGAAACGGGACGGGGGCCAGACGCATCGGGACCAGACACATCGGGACGAGACACAAGAGACCGAGGTAAGGAAACAAGCAACAAGAGAGCGCCTAACCGGGGGGGAGGGGGTTGGCTGGTCGGTCGTCCTGTTCGATAAACTAAGCTTCACCCCACTCTCTATCTCGCTCGCTTCTTCTTCCGTCTTTCGACATTAGCGGAGGGTAGTAAGACGAGGGGTAGTCGAGTCGTGCGTGCAGCCGGCACGCGCTCAACGAATTTTTCATCCAACGGATCCGCCAAGGTGCTTCCCCGGGCGCAATCGCGGGGAGGGAAAAACTGGAATCCCCGGGGATGGCAACCATCCCCCCCGAGGACGTGCCCGCGCGCCAGTCGCTATGCGCCTTATCGCCTAATCGTAAGCCTAATCGCTCTCTATATACGAATCGAACTGGTGAAAAAACGAGCCGTATGTATGGAGAATTGGGGAGACGAAAGGGTAGATGCGTCCAAGGACTAAGTCAACAGGACTCACGTCCACTGGTGTTTGACGCGTATCGCCTCGCAGTCGCGCGACGTCGGACGCATCCCGGGCCGCGTCCCCTGCACGTTCTACAGCGCCTTTAACAGCGATATCCGCGGAATTCGCGCCGAATCCGTACCCGAGGCGATTTATGTTATTCGGGCGCCCGCGGCGACCGTTAAAGGTTGCGAGAGTGCCAACCTTCGTCTTCTCCGAAATATTGCGAGAGACCTGCCTTACCGGCCCTACAGGATATGTTAATGGCCTGGGACCCCGAGGACCCCGAAAAACCCAAACCTCTTTCATTCTTCTCCCTCTTTTTTTTCCCCGCCGGTCTCTTCCCTCCTTCCCCTCCGCAACTTTAGCTTTGCCACGGCATAAAATTTCGGGGCATTTAAATATTAAATCTTGATAGGAAAGCCATTGGTCAAAGAAGCGTCTCTTACACAATTCTCTCGTCTGCGTCGACGGTTGCCGCAGCGCTTTTTTTTCCTTTCTTTACCCCTGTCTCTCCCGTTAGGCGCCCTTTGCGAAATATGGGAACTCGGCGATTTTTCTATACGCGATGCAGAGAAATCGATAATCAAATAACAATGTGGCCGTAAATTATAGAGCGCTACGCCAATTGATTGCCTATCGTGCGTTAAAAAAAACCTGCGTTAAAAAGCTCAACGAAAGTTTACTCCAAACATAATTAGCCAACGATGAATTTGTCCCGGGTCGTTGGTACATTTTTTCATCCATCGTGTTCACTTATTTCAAATACCTCGCGACATTTCACTTATATATATAACTTAATGCTAATTGTATAGCAAGTAAAGTTGCAAATCGTAGATCGTTTCGCGTGAGAAGAGGGCAACAGCGTGTCGTGGAAGCGTCATACATATGTTGCGCTAATTAAAAAACGACATAATTAAATGTCCCTTCCCTAACGCGAGATGCGCCGCGTCGATTATCACATTATTCCGATTATCATAGCCCCGACTCGGTGGATCGGTATTATTCTTCCGAAGAGAACGTGCCCCCGGTCGTCGAAGACGCGCGTCCGCAGGTAATTACCTAATTTGCACGCGAGCGGCACGCTTCGTTATGCGTGTGTATGCGTGGTGCCCTGTCCGTGATGCCTTGGCCGTATCGGGCGTATGTACACGCGTCTCTCGGATATACAGGCCCGCTCAATACTAGAAGCCGGCGCGCGTACATAGGGGTGCCCCGTCGTTCGCCCCGTTCGCCGCCGCCGTCGTCGTCGCCGTACCCCTCGGCGCAACGGACTTTCAAGGCAACGGACGAGAACGGAACGCGCCATGTGGCGGCGCAACACTTCCATGCCGCTGCACGACGGCATTTGCAACGGCGACCGATAACACGTCGTCGACTCGATGAGGAGAGCGCGAAAGATCTCTCGTGGCCGGCTGTGCGAACAAACGCCTGCGACTCTATTCTCCTAATCCGACTACAACTCGCGTAATGTAGGATCTGCTCTCGACTAAGCCCTTTCCCCCCCTCCCACCACCCACATTTGGGATGCTAAATGCCGCCATCGCCGTATATCGATTATCTCTACCCGAATTATTCCGGCGGCCGTGTATAGCCTCTTCATATGCAAATGAGGAAAGAAGTGTGATAGCGTATATAGAAATTCATAAATTTACTGTCACACTTCTACCGTTGTTATACGATAAAATTTTTATTAGCAAGATACTCTCCCCGAGGTTTCTTCAAAAAGCAAAACTTCGAAAAGCGAATTTCCACGCGAATTTACACTGTTAAATCTATCTAGTGTCAAACTGAACCTTATTTAAGTCACCACTGCTCTTACTTAATAAATAATTCTTTTTTATATTAAAACAATGGAGTTAAATAATTTAAAACAGTTCAAATTTAACCCACATTAGGGTTAAATTTCATTGTTTTATTTAAAAATAACTATTTATTAAGTAGGAGCAGCGGCGACTTAAATAAGGTTCAGTTTGACACTGTAGAGTTAACAGTGTAAGTTTCTTCCCTATGTCCAATTTCAATTTGATAGTAACATTAATAAATAATGAGCTTTAAGCAAAGCTAGCAAATCTCAGCCATCTTTACGTCTGAAAAGATTAAGAAAAAAAAATTTCAATCTAAATTTAAATTTAAAGCTAGTATCACGTGCGTTGATAATTAAGTTATTATCCTCTTGTCATTCCGAGCGAGACATTATAAATTTGTGGAGTCTCACAATCGAACTCTTCGTTGCTGACAGCCGTTTTTCCGTCTCATCGGGTCATCGAACGCGATCATCGCATTAAGAGTATGAGATACGGAATCGGTCAGTCACCTTTAGAGCTAAACGTAGTGTTAAAGGGAGTCGGAAATAAGTACGAACCCTAGTCTTTCGCGCGAGACAGCTGTATTCTTAACGGTCTCTCGATGTGTTGATGTCTAACGAGGGTAGGTCAGTATCGATGCACGCAGGATATATTTAAACGTATGGCTATACTTTCATCGGACCTGTGTTGTGTGTGTTCATCGCGAATAATTACGGCTATTTTCTTTACTTACTAATTTTCTTCACTACTCGTATAAGCGAATTAAATTAAAATTTTACTGCCACGACAAATTGAAGAAAGTCAATAAAATTTTTTAAGAACGTTCTAATATTTAAATACATAAATAAAACTTTAATATATAAAAATTCTAGTATATGTGTTACGCACGTTGCATTAAGTATTAGCGGTCCATTTGCAATTTCGAATTGTAAAAATTAAAAATAATATTAATAAATAAATCACAATTATTTTAATCATATCAGTGATCGCGTGGATTAACCGAGAAAAAAAAAAGAAGAGTTGCCCGGAAATATATATTAATTCATAAAAATTTGTTACCATTTTGAGCATAAAAATATCAGATAGATATGTTTTTTTAAACATTTTTGAAAGATAAGATCTGAAATGTGCCGTAGAATGTTAACGTTTGACCGCGCTTTCCCATACATTGATAATCATCGGACTATCGATAGGTATCCCAGCGCCTAAGTGCCGTTAGCATCCCCAAAGCACGAGGGATGCGCGCTACCGTCCGCGCCCAGCCGTTCGCTCGCGAACCTCCAACGGGGCTTTACCGGGGGCATGAATAAAAGGGGGCGCCAAGCCTAACCAGCCACCCAACAAGGAGCAGGTGAGCACCTGGTCTTCGTAACCCCGGCACGAGCTACTACTTGCCTCACGATTGCGAGAGGGTGCTCAACGATCGCGTCGCGCGCGTTAATTGACTCGGCATTGCGATTATCGAAAAGTTAAGAACCGAACTCGAAAAAAAAAATAAGTATCTTTCATCTTTGTCGAGTGTGCAAAACCGCGAGGTGTATTAATTGTAATCGATAAGAGCGCGAATCGAACAGATGGCACGTCGAAATTTAACACGCGACGCAAACAGCGATGAGCGATACGGGCGTCGGAAGTAGATTCAATGAAATTAATAAAGCAAACGTGTGTCGGAGAAATACAATAAAATATCCGCCTTGCCGGGACCGCGCGAATGAGAGACACTGACAAACTGAGGCTGCGCGAACTCGCGGTCGCCGCGGCGTTCAGACCGGCGGCAGACGTTCACAAATCGTTGAAGGACGGGGAAATCCCTAACGAATAAACCCGCCTTTCGTAAGGCTCTCAGGTTCCGCTCTATCAGTTTTGCCCGATAATTAACTCGACTACGGTACCCGCCCCGCGCTCATCATTATGAAAAAGAGAACCCGCTAGACTTGTAAATGATATAAATGTTCCTTAGCGTAAGTTATTAGAATCGCCAATTGTTAGACGTTAATTAGTTAGAGACGTTATTATCGTACATCAAAATTTAACATGTGTTGTTAAGAAATTCATTTGCGGCTATCAATTCGAGCTTTCATTATCTTAATTAAATACACAACTTATTAACTTTTCACATACATTATGCAAATATATATTACGCTCGTTCTTATATCGTGGTGTAAAATAATTTCGACATAAACTACAATTTATTGACGCGAAAGGTTGTCGCCTCTATCGAGTTCCGCATCAAGTCAATTTATTGAGCTTTTAAAAAGACTTGAGTGATTGTGCTCTCTCTTTGGTTGAAAAGGATGCATCGGAAAGCCGACGTCTATTTCAATAAAATTATACGTCGCCGTATTATATGATCTTGTCCTGATCATCTCGCAGAGGCACAACAATCCCTTCGCGTCCGACTTGTCACTCTCGCCGATACCGTACCTTTTAAACGTGAAAAGTGACGCTTTTTCGCGCTGCCGGAATCCAGTGACGATCTCGACAGATCGTTAGTGATGTTGGACATCGGTGATTCGACGTTCGGCGCCTCGCTGAGGGATTCCCCGGGAGAAGATTCTCCATCCATCTCCGACGGATTTTGGTTAGCGGACGATTGGTTTACTTTGCGCGGACGGCAGCTCGTTCTCAACGAGTCAAGTTGGGGATTGCAGATGAGATGCTCGATCTCTCGAATTTGATCGTCGAATCGACGTCAGGCACGACGTTGGCTTCTAGAAGAAAAAGAAAAACGTTAGGTTAGAAAAAAAAAACGTTCAGATAGTCCCTCAGCGATCTCTCGCGAAATCCAGCGGGAATATAATCGGTGTCTCGCTCGTTCGGCCGTTCTAATGTGACATTCGAAATTAAAGCCTTATCACCGAAAAATCGGAGAAACGAGAGATTCATGAAATTAGACGAGAATTTTGTCATTCGTACGTATACGTCTCTCTCTCTCTCTCTCTCTCTCTCTCTCTCTCTCTCTCGGTTTCACAAGCGCGACAAATCGAGACCGTGAATGCCGAATCGAGGATGCATAATGGCCCAATTGGCGGGAACGAGACCCGTTGTCGTTATATGATTTCATCCGCGGTGGCCCGTTGATCATCGTATATACGGGGTGTCCGATTATCGCATTGACGCTTGATTTTGCATAACTTTTTGCAGAGAAAGAAAGCTTTTTTGGAATTAACGACAAACAAAATAAAAAAAAATGTACACGGAGAGAATTTTTTTTTTAATTTACCCTGAAAATCATGTTAATTGTGGGACAATATAGTATTTAGGCAAATTTTACTGTGCACTACAATAAGTATTTTACTGCAATAAAATTTGCCTAAATATTATCCCGCAATTAACATGATTTTCAGAGTAAATTAAAAAAAAAATTCTTTCCGTGTACCGCGACATACGATATACGGAAAGAATTTTTTTTTAATTTACCCTGCAAATCATGTTAATTGTGGGACAATATAGTTTTTAGGCAAATTTTACTGTGCACTACAATAAATTTTACTGCAAAATCTTATTGTAGTGCAGTAAAATTTGCCTAAATACTATATTGTCCCACAATTAAAATGATTTGCAGGGTAAATTAAAAAAAAAATTTTCTCCGTGTAGAAATACTTATCCCCCCCAATCTTAATTCTTCACCTATTATAATTCGTTATCTTGAATCAGCGTTAAAATAACGATGTCTTCGAGGAATATACGCGATCGTAATTTTCGAAAAGAAATTGATTCGTAATACGAAAACAGCGCTTATCTAACCGTGTGCTGACCTGTGTGCGTTTATCGACTTAGTAAAGGCTCTTTGCTATGCGCGACCTTAAAATTTGTTTACACTTCGTATCTATATATTGTAACAATATCGATTTCTACTGTTTACTCGAGACGACGGGATGCAGATCATCCTGTATCCAATCACGAGACGATAATGATGATGTCGGAAATTCGCGGTGATAATGCCATGGCTACAGTTAATTATGTATTGGCAGTTATTAATTCGAGAATTTTCATTAAAATTATTTTAATTCAATTATTTAATTATATATACCATATTCAATCATGATATATCGCGCATTTTCTCTTTTTTACATTCTAATATAAGTGATCATTGTATCTACAATTTATTACGAAAATTTTTCGCTTCAACATCTATTTGAAGTCAATTTATTGATCGTGAGCTTTTTATTTAAAAAAAATAAAAAAAAATTTTCAAATTCTTCTGGAGAAAATGTATCGGGATACGAATATAAATTTTAATCGGCCGTTACTGTAAATTTTATTTAAAAAACAATAGAACAAGTGCAATCCACCGTTAAATTACTCTCGTATTAAATTCATTTTGGGGAGAATTACGCGCGATTAACGAAAAATGGCTAGAACAATTCATTGAAAAGAGTTGCGAGTTGTTTGAATTACTGCGAACCGTGAACGTGATAGCGGGAGATAGTTTCTATCTTCTAGAAATATCTATCGCGCCTCTTCCCTTCCTCGTATCGAAGCCGTTGAAGTCGATCCGAGTCGTTACGTTTCCCGGAAACCTCGGTGGGATGAATATTTCTCGTCGGCCTCGGCCATACACTAGGTGTGCTATAAATTACGACTTTGATTTTATTCATGAATCTATATCAAACAGCTTCTCCTCTATAAATATAAAACTATGTAATGTATATTTCTACCAACGTAGATTAACTTTAATCCAGGTTTAACTTACTTTGTATCTTTTTCTAGTTTTAAGAATTAGACAAAGATAAAAAGTAAATAAAAAAAAATGATTAAAGTTAATCTACGTTGGTAGAAATGGACATTAGACTCACTCGCGAATCATCGAAGACAAATAGTTTAAGAACGAGATCGTTAATCGAGGGTCACCGATAGGGCATATACGAGAAATCTTCACACACACATATATATAGGAAAAACTTGATCGCAGGATATTGCAAATCTTTCTCGAAAATCTAGGCGACAAATTTCCTCACGCGTGTTTTTGCTCGACAACGGCATGTCGATCTGCCGAAATGCTCGGGATTGCGACGAAACTGAAGGGAAAAAAAAATTCACGCGAAAACTCACTCGAGGAATTGTTATTTGTGTACCCTGTTTGTATATCCTTGACACCGCACTGTTGTGGCCGAGTCACGATCGAGAGAGCGATTCAACACGTGCCCATAGTGGACTAATATATTACTATACATAATAACATTATTATATATTTTATATATATTATTTATAATTAATATCGCATGTATATTATACATATATTGTAATATTATATATATGTGTGTGTTTTCTAATTATTTCTTTTTTTTTAGAAAAACATGAATTTTTAGTGATGCAAGAGTGATCTATATAATTAATGCCGTTAATTTTATATACAATATATATATACACTCGCGATATATTTTATCCAGTATAATAAATATATAAATAACGCCGATACCTGGAAATTCGTTGTGCCCAGTCCTTAAAGCCCGCTTTTTAAAGCCACGTCCTTAACCAAACCGAGAAGTAAGCCGTGGGATTTCCTTGCGTGCGCCAATTCGTCACGCGGACGGACGAGACACGTTGCGTTCGTCACGTCGTCGGAGAGGTCGGACCGACCGGGAGACGATCCTCGTCGCCGGTTGACGTCGACGAGCAACAAGAGCCGATTCACTTGTGGCGTTTCCCTCCCATCGAGGCGCCGCCGCGGCGCGATCACTTTCGGCGCGAAACCGACGACGACGACGGGACGGGGGACTCCGGTCGCGACGAGCCGGTGAATGAGATAACGCCGGCAGTACGAACGCGATTGCGCGCCGCGGCGTTATTTGGCGCGACGATATATTGCGCGCGGAATGTATGTATGGGCGGCAGTCCGAGACACGGCGGATCCCCCGACAGTCGTCTCTAATTCGTTTGTCAAACGCGCGACAAGTCGCACCGCACTCACTGCCGCCAACGACGAGAGACGAGAGCACGGGAGGCGCGAATCGTGTCGTGGGGCGCGCGCGCGGCGCGGGTGGACCATCGGAAAAGGCGCGAAACGGCCGGCCGGGGGGGCGGCGGGAGGTGGCGGTGGGAGGAAGAGGAGGTGGGGGAGCAGAAGTCCGTTCGTTAGTTACAGTAGTTAGTTACACTTTCTATGCTCCATCCTCTTTATCGCCTCTCTCTCTCTCTCTTTTACGAACGTATCTCGATGATATTTCTTTTTATCGCGCGGATTTATCCTTTTAGATTTATACCCTGCAGATGCTTTTCTAGATGCTTTCCTCTCCGCATATTTGGAGCATATTTGTAGAGCTAGCCATATTTAATAACTTTATCAATACTCCTCTACGAAATTTCACTCGATTATTAACATGATATATATAAAATATCTTTTAAATAAACTCCAAGAAGAAACTAAACCGCGCATTTTTATTTTTTCTAATTCGTTTTAGTTACCTAACCTTTTTATTCATATGACTTATTGTTAAATTATAATTGCTCTTTTTAATAAAAGGCTTTAACTAAATCTGCAGTTTTCGCTATCCTGCTCTGATTGAACATATAAATCTACTTATTCTTATTCTGAAATTATATCTTGCTCTATTTCTTTCCTCAAACACTTACGTACCGCTCGCAAAAACGTATGAATGTAAATGGAGCATATACCTTCTTTTATGTCAATGCGTGTAAATCCGCTCGTGTATTGTGCTCGAATCCGTAGATTCGCTAAAAGGCGCTAAGCCCAAATGACGCGTGGAATGCAGGTCACTGTGGGAATTGTAGGAAATTGCAAATCAGCACCATCTAACGGTGCTAATTCGAACTTCCGGAAATGTTTGCGCGTACTCAACGAGTAATACAGGACTCTGCTTGCCAAGATCTTTGTGCACAATAATTAAATTATAACGATTTAACGAACATCAATCGAACATGACTAAAAATGTTAATATTTGAGGAAAGCAAGTCCCAGATCGAACTCTTCGATTGACAAGCAATCGCTCCAATGAGCCATCTATAGCACTTCGAATTTGTACTTCAATAATGCATTACAAAATCACAGACATTATATGTAAAAGCCAGTTACTAAATAATTAATTTCTTAAAATTGCGAGAAACGTAAAGGATAACGCAAGGAGAATGGTGTTCTTTTTGTTGTCTTTAGCAACGTGAAAGAGGATTAAAGACGGTACAATGGTCGAAGTGTATATAGAGACTTTCCTTTAAAATTTAAAAAATTTATTAGTTTGCCTAATTCAGACAATCGTATAATATAATGTATTAGCATGTTCGCGATTAGAGGATGCCCCACCGATACGATATATAAATAATTTCGCACAATTCAACTCTACGATGAGTATCTTCCGTTTACAAAGCGCGACGCACGTACATTTTTCTTTCTTCCAGCGTGCGTAATAGATTTATTAAAATTAGGACGTCCCTTTGAAATCCCTTTGGAAATTATACCTAATGAATAAAGTTATTCGAAATACTGAAAATAGATCGTCCCCTTTTACTTTATCCTACCATGCTCCCCTTCGGGAGAGCACATACCTAATTCTTTTTATTAACATTTGTTCCTATATAATCACCTAATAAGCGCATAGATTGTCGTCACCTGGACTTTTCTCTGGTCAAAAATGAATTCGTGAAGAAACATCGAATATATAAAATATATATATATATGTCATGTATATACGTTTATCATTATTATATCTAATCTGATTCTAGAATGCTATCGTTATTCAGCAATATTACTAAACGATAAATAAAAAATAAATAAAAAAATAGTTAAAAATATAATCTCCTATCTTATCGAAAGATATAGGCTCGCGCAACGGATTATCGTTGTCACCTCGTACTCCTTCACTTATAACTCTATTAATTTTCCAATCTCTTTTAAAACCGAGGCATACCGGGTTCCAATCCAATATGGATTGGAACCCGAATTGAAACTCACGAGTTATAAATCAACTTTTACACCACGTGTCATCCAAATTTTAAAAAAATTAAAAAATACCAATTTTTTAATTTCAATAAAACAAGTGCATGCATAAAAGAAATAAAAGAAAAATATCCTTTAAAAAAAATCATATTTCATCAAGTGCATGCATAAGACATAAAAGAAAAATATCCTTAAAAAAAAAATCATATTTCATTAAAATACATAAAATTTACGTACTATAGCTTTCTAGAATCAAGGCACAGACAGGACACAACGTTTTCGAAATAAAATCTAAGTTGCGGAATGTGTGTGAATATATGATAGAACAATGCATAATAAGGGAATACGATTAATCATGTTGCCCTGTATCCTCCGTCCAGATATAAACTCCGGCACGGAGTTCCATCCCTTCTGATAATTCATAATAAATGAATTAAATTAAAAAAAAAACTCAGGTATCGTACTGTATCGTATTCAAACGGTTGATCGTGGCATCACATGAAACGCTACGCTAAAAACGAGACGTTAAGTTATACGTTAACTAAAAAATATCTTTCTCTTTACACAGTGTTCGATTGTGTTCTCATTCGATCACATGGTTAGCCCTCTGCAGAGTTTTCGGGGACGCGATGTATCCGCTTTTCACCACGTTCACGACAAGATTCTTGGGCTTCGGCGGTAGCGGCGGAGGTTTCGACAGTTTCGCGTGCGACGCATCCGCGCCCCCGTAACTTCCTGAGTGCGGGCTCTTCGACGGGGAATCAGCACCGTTCTCGATGATCGTCTGATCCCCGTCCACCAATGTCCTGTCGCCGTCCAGCGTGAACGAATTGTCAAGGCACTTGCTTAAAGGCTCGGTAGTGTTATTAACCAAGGCCGAGAATCGTTCGTTCGCGACTCCGTTCGTCACGTGCGCGGGATACTCGTATCCGCTGCTGCTCTGCTTATCCTCGCCGGAGTCGTAAAACTTCGAGGTGCCCTCGCAATTGGCCGACACCACCCGACTCCTTCGCATCTTGTTAGAATCCGATGGTTTCCCGTTCTCCTTGTTCTGATCAGAAATTTCGTAACTTTTAAGAATCGAAATACATTCGAATGATATAAAAGTCTACGTTTATGCACACGTATAAATCTCTACTGCCAACTCTGGATGAAATTAACTAATAAAGTATTATAGTTGGCTATAAATCCCAATGGAAGATAAAATGGAATAAATTGAATGTTTCAGATGCGACGCACATGTGTGACTGTACCTTTAAAAAATCTGGTAGTTCAAAGTTGATTTCCGTCCCTCTCTGGTCCTCCAATCTCGATCTTTGCGCCCGTTTCAATCCCTCGTATAACTCTACAAAAAAAAATAGTTATGATTTAAATAAATCGTTATTTTAAACAATAAGATTCAGACATTTCTGATTAATAATTTTTTATATTAAATATTTTTATAATTATACGTTTTGAGTGAACTGTTCAAAATCTAATTCCATAAATTATAAGAAATCTTATGTAAAAGAGGATGATTTAAATAAATCATTATTTTAAACAATAAGATTCAGACATTTCTGATTAATAATTTTTTATATTAAATATTTTTATAATTATACGTTTTAAGTGAACTTTTCAAAATCTAATTCCGTAAATTATAAGAAATCTTATGTAAAAAAGGATGATTTAAATAAATCATTATTTTAAACGATAAAATTCAGACGTTTCTGACAGATTAAAAATTGTTTATATTAAATATTTTTACAATTATATGTTTAAAGTGAACTGTGCAAAATCTAATTCCGAAAATTATAAGAAATCTTATGTAAAAGAGGATGATTTAAATAAATCATTATTTTAAACGGTAAGATTCAGACATTTCTGACAGATTAATAATTTTTTATATTAAATATTTTTATAATTATATGTTTAAAGTGAACTGTGCAAAATCTAATTCCGTAAATTATAAGAAATCTTATGTAAAAGAGGATGATTTAAATAAATCGTTATTTTAAACGATAAGATTCAGACATTTCTGATAAATTAATAATTTTTTATATTAAATACAATATTTTACAATTATATGTTTAAAGTGAACTGTTCAAAATCTAATTCTGTAAATTATAAGAAATCTTATGTAAATAAGATGATTTAAATAAATCGTTATTTTAAACGATAAGATTCAGACATTTCTGACAGATTAGTAATTTCTTTTATTAAATATTTTTATAATTATATGTTTAAAGTGAACTGTTCAAAATCTAATTCCATAAATTATAAGAAATCTTACGTAAAAGAGAAATATATATTATATATATGTATGATTCTTACCATCCCCGTCAAATCTGCCCGGAAGCTGCAATTTTACGCCATTACGCCACTTTGCGATAAGTGGTGGCTGGGATTTAATGGGCGCTCCCTCGTGTATGCAGTCGTTTGTATTACCCTTTTCACTTGTATTGCAACATTTAGATTTCACCTTAAACAAGAAAAATAAGTACCAGAAGTAAGTCACGTATATACACAAACTAAACTTCTTAATTGAAAAGATATGAACATGTTGAATATATTTACCTTTTTCTTTCCGTGAATTGTTGAATCTCGAAGAAAGAATTTGCTAGATAATATAGAAGAACCCTCCGAACGTTGATCATCCGACTAAAAAAATACAAAAGTAATATTAAAAGTAATTTGTTATACGATAAAAAAAATTGCATATATAATAGAAGATTGCTTTTTAAATTATGCTTACCTTACATGACCCTTCACTATACTGATACTTATTTCTACTTTTCCCAACCAGAAGCTCCTCAAATACTTTATTAGTAATTTCATCCAGAGTTGGCTGTACGTGTGGCACTTCGTCTAAATACTTGGCGGTATGCAACTCCCGTTGAAAATCTGTAAAACAATAACATTCAATTAGTTTTGATTCTTTTAAATCGATTTAAATTAATTATAAATAATTATTTAAATAATTAATAATTATCTAAATAATTTATTATTAAGTATTTTATAACATTTTACATGTGTATGCACTAACCTTCTTCATTCGCCACTACGATAATGCGCGTAGGAGCATTAATAGCCGTAATATCCATAGGAATACAACGGCCTTCGCTCCAAATACTAATCAAGTCTAAATTGAAGCCATATTTATTTAGAAGAGGTCTCAAAACTTCTTTCAGAGTTTTACCCTTGTGGGCGATAACGCTTATTATCCTTCGCGAGGGTAATTCTACTTTTAAGACTTTTGTGAGGACGACCTCCACTTCCTGGCCTGCTAATACTGACGAAAAACACTTCGTGTCCACCATCTGCAAAAATATAATAATACATTACAGAACGGATAGTCATTACTGCAATAATTTCAGTAAGAATATGATGATTGAGATATGAGAATATGTGCATAACAAGATATTTTTACTTGCATTCTTACAAGACACAATAAAATAACTTTTATCTTTTCCGTCACCAAATTGTAGACTATAGATAAAATAATAAACAAAAACTGCATTTCCCATTAGACATTTACTTCGTGCAAGCTAATATAAAATAAAATAAAAAGAAAAAGATAAACTCTATTTATGCATTATAATGCAAAAAAAAAAGCAAAAGTGCGTGCATTAGATGGACCAATATTTCTCGTAAAGCTTGCATTCGGTTAAACAGAAGGCAGCACAAACCTCATCTGTTGCTAGTATCAGAACATCATAGTTAGAAAATCGTAGAGCCCGCTTATCAAGGAGACGCGTAACCACGTCTTTAATGCTCTCGGTTTGGCTGGTTGTCACTACAGTAGTGGATCCATCAGGCAATATGACTCGACATAAACCCGTACATTTGCTGCGAGCGTCTCTCTTTTCGTTCGTTTGCCCATCGCAAGACGATACAGACTACAAGTGAACACACATTCGCTCACGTATACATAGATTGACATGTAAACTTTTACGTGCACTTCAGAATCTATATGTGAGTTTGACAAAATGGCCTGATACTGTTTTGCGATACTCAAGTTTAAAAATCTACTTGACAAAAAAAAAACGTTTACAGCAAGTTATAATCTTGAATTAAATCTATTCTACGGCAGCTGATATATCTTAGTGGATTAATTGCAACGTACTACTCTTTCACCTGATTACTACAGTACATGTACAATAATAACCTCCTCAAAAAAGTGTATCACCAAAAGCACTCTCTACAAAGTAGATTTACACACAACACTCGTTAAAATAACTCAATATGCAACTAAAGAGAGATTTATCAAGAATTAAACGTAGGTTTCATTTCAATACTGGCACAATACAATTCATACAGTCTTTAACTCAGTTACAAAAGAATGACGATCCTATCATCGGGATTCGATGACCATTTTATTTTTAAAACGTCATTATCGGGTTGCTGCATTAGTTGCAATAATACTTACTTTAGTAAACGACTGCCGTAACGCCAAATCCCACGACGCTAAGGACGACCGACTACTGGATATCGACACGCTGTCTTCATTATTGTTACCCTCCGTTTCTCTCTTAATAACTGTAAAGCTTTTATATATAGTCTCACTTCGGCTAGGCGCTTTGTTGTACTCGGATTCGCCGCGATCCTTCGATTTAGATCTGCAAAATAAAGTCAGCAAAAATGAAATAAAATACACATTGCATGAGCAAAAACGTTTTCGCTTATCCGACAGAAAAATAAAAATAATTTTACCTATTTTTCCTATTCCATGGAAGAAGCGACTTTCGACAACGATCCTCCGCATCGGAGTGGCTCTTCTTTAATTTTACACTAGGCGAACTCGTAAGATGTAGATCACAGTCTTCTGTATCAACAACGGCACTCCCCGCTTCCAAGCAGGCGCGATAAAGTTCCGATCTTAAGAATCTCGGGTAACTGTCGAACTTCATCAGGTTGAATACTTGTTTCTGAGCCTAAGAGACAATAATAGCAATCATTTGACATGTAATAAAATTCGCAGAGAGATATTCATCATATGATCAAGTGCATCAAGAAAAAAATATTTTGAAAGATTCAGCAATGTAACATTTTTATTTTCTATAAAAATAAACTATCGTGAAACATTCGTTTCTTTTTTTTTTTTTCAGAATAAAAATCACAAGTTTTCAATAGCATGCGTACCTGCAAAAATAAATCCGCGGGCGCTTCGTCGAGTAATTCTTGGGTAATTTGTCCTGACGCATGACTATCAACGTTTACTGGCTCGGCGGCTGTACTCGACAAATGGCGCTGATATATCTGACAAGCTAATCGACGGCGCGTAGCAGCGTCTTTAGTATCTTTATATCTCTCACAAGCAGCCCAAAAATATATATTTTCGTGACTAAACTCCTTCTTGAGAAATTCCTTGAATAAGATCAAATGCGTTCAGTAGTTGCACATTGCATGTAACATTTAACGTACACGAAGAGGAATCGCGCGCTACTCACAGCGAACGTTTGCAAGCCCTTTGGATCCTCCAACAACTTTTCAAATCCATTCGCCCACGTGTGCACTCCTTTACAGTCGCTGTTCTTGTCACAAGACTCGGTACTACCGTACTGCAATGGATACACATTTCATTGATAAGACAAACTTAAAAAATAAATAAAACATTGTTTTAAATATGTTACGATAAATGAGCACAAATATTCTGCCTAAATTAAAAAATTCAATTTCTTTACTACTTTCATCTCATGTAAATCGTGTTGTTAAAATTTTCTCTTGTGGTCTAATTAACAAGATATCTAATATTAAAGAAAGTCAGCAAATTGATACAATTACATATTTCCTCCCCCCCCCCTTAAATTGCACATTTTCTGTATCAATTATTATCAATTTTTCCAACTGAAGGATTCTTTCGATAATATGACAGAATGTGGATATAGAAATATGCTTTTGAAGTAAGTGGCGTATTGATAATTCATAGCGTTCTATCGTTGCATAATTGCCGTTAGTTGGTCAACATTATTGTAACGCACAATCGCACGATCCCCATTTGCGATTCTATTTCTCCTATTATATCGCGATTCTCCTATTATATCCCATTATATCGCGAAGTCTCTCCGAGAGAGAGAGAAAGATTCTAATATTTACTCCGGCGCATTCCGAGCAGCCTTTGCAGTTCAGCACCTGTCGTGCATGCAACAGGTGCGCGCTATGAGAAAACGCTTTCTTGAATCGCGCTCTCGGCTCGCGTGCTCCGTTTTTCCCATCCCCTTTCCCCGTTCTCCCTGCATACGTGTGCAGAACCAACGCGCAATTTCATCTTCCCACGTACGATTTTTCCTCAATTGGCATTACGGTGTGTGACTAGACGAGCGACTTAAATGACACCCCGACAAGATATTCAAGGAAGATAACAGTCGCGACACGCGGCAAACGTTCCGGTTGACAAGGAGGAAGTTAAGATGTTCGTGACATCTCGGACGGTTCGAGGAATGCGGCTTTAAACGAAGACAAACATGAGTCGTCGTCGTCGTCGCCGCCGCCGCTATGAGCTCACGAGTGCTCCCGAAGCCCGTGATTACCGATAATTAAGGAAACAAGTCGCGTCAGCGGCGCCGTTCACCGCCGGCGGAGAGGACGTTAATGAAGAATTAATCGGCAAAAGCCGGCCTGGGCTTTTAATTAAAAGGAATCGCGATTATCGCACTCTTTACGGTCGATGATTTTATCTCCCGTGGATTTGTTCCCGTTGTTTCTGACGGCGTTACCGAAGCCGTCCGTCGGAGATGTAACGTGCGATGTTGATTTATGTTCACTTTGACCTCTCCTATATTCGCTCACTTTATTACTTAATCGTCCGGCATACAGGGTTGTCAAATTTAATGCAGCCGAAGAAGGACATCCTGCGTGAGACGGAATTTCTGTTAAACCTGTTTAATATATATATAAACTTGTTTAATATATATAAACACGCCTCGAATATTTTATAAAATAAACGAAACGTTTTATAAACGCGCATTTCCTGCAAACGAGCTTTTCCTGCCTGTGCGCTCAGTTATGCAGCGATTACAACAATTTTTATTTCTACCAATATAGATTAACTTTAACTTCGCTTCAACTTAACTCTCTTCATCTGTCTCTAGTTTTAAGAATTAAAAAAAAAAGATGAAGAGTAAATTAAACTGAGATTAAAGTTAAACTTACATTGATGGAAGTAACCGTAAAGCGGCGTCTACAATGGACAGCAGCAGTAATAGATTAAGGAGTAAGCTGGTTTTTCGGTGTAAAAAAGGGCGTAGAGTAAGTCCGCAAGCGAAATAGTTGAAATCCATTTCCTACGGCTAGTCTCTTACGTGAGATAAATAATCGACTATACTTCGTTTCTACCAATGTAGATTAACTTTAACTCTCGGTTTAACTTATTTTGTATCTTTTTCCAGTTCTAAAAATTAGAAGAAGGTAAACAGTGAATTAAACCGAGATTTAAATTAATCTACATTGGTAGAAATAGACACATGACCGGTGAATTTTCTTAAATCTGAAGTCTCACTGTAGACGCCGTTTTACCGCAATCTCGACCTATTCAACGCTGACTCGCAAACTTACGACAGACGGCGGAACTTTTCCCAAACACGGATCCAATCCAAACTTGCCGAGCGATGCGTCACCGAGGAATTGCCGGGACGGCAGCGGGACGTGCCGCATGCGACAGCGTCCGCGATGCACGCCCGAACACCCCGGGCAAACCTGCCCGTGCTCCTTTTTTCTACGCACCGATTTCGCCAGCGCATCCATGTCACGCTCGCGGGCCGCGCGTTTGCACGTCGACGGCGGCGGCGGCGGCGGCAACGTCATTTATCAGCCTGCCGGGACGACGCATATGCACCGGACGACAATCGCGCATACCCCGGCGCGGATTCGAGCGACGACAACAACGTCGATCGGCGACGAGAGCTAAACGGGCGATTCGCTTGTGTAATAACGAGGGCTCCGCCCAGCGCGGCCGCGACGATCGGGCATCGCCGTGCAACGCGGCGCGGACTCGCGAACTCGACCGTTGCCTTGGCACTATACGGCGTGACGTGACGTGCCTTGACGCGACGTGACACGTCGCAGGAGCACGCTCTACGAGCCTGCTGCTAACGGCGGCGTTAACGAGATACCTGGAATAACGCAATCGTCCGCAACATCGTCCGCAACCGCACACACCGTGCGCTACACGGCTACTACCGCGTTGCTCGTCCCGGCGTGTTACGACGCCGAGGCTGAGGCCACTTTACGCTTCGAACAAGGCCCACTTCCCTCCCTATCTCTCTCGGTCACTCCTTCCCTCCTTTTCCCTCGACGTCTCTTCGCCTCTCCCTCGACGCCGCTCTCGACTGATTCATTCTCATCGTCGACCCGTCACTCGCCCCGCGCCTCTTCCGCTCCCATCGCCACCACCACCATCACCATCACCACCATTACCACTACAACGGGCCCGCGTCACGGCCTTTCCCTCTCTGTCTCCACCGACGAACTCTATCGTTCAACCTCGTTTTAACATCTACGCAGGGCCGCATGCAGGGGATGCCCACACGGTCGGAAGGGCATCCGTGAATGCAGAAGCGGACTGGTGGTTGGATATTTTAAATGAGCTGTGAAATACGGATCGATTAAAGTCTGGCGATGAGGAGCGAGGTACAAGTGAATGGAGTTATCCGTGACAGATTTGCATAATTAACAAAAAGAAATTAACGCAACAAGATACGTAAAAAAAACCTTACCTTAAGGATAAATTATTAGCGCTTTTCCAACAATTCTTCAAATGAAATCGACAATTAATTTTATACAAGCTGTCAGCTTTTCAACTTTCTATTTAAACAGTACGATTCAATGTTAATGAGAGGAATGATATCTAAGATATTTTTCAACGATACATACTAATAAAGATTGTGATAAGTATCATGAGAGAAATTTGCAAATTCAAAGCGAGTGAGGAATGGATATCGCTTCTGTGCGACCGACCCTGCATCTATCATCGTAAGATCTATTCATGCACCTAAAGGCGGTGCATCAACCTCAGTTCGCGGGAACGTTTCTTCTTAGCGTTACTTAGACATTGTTACTTAGGCATTGCAACGTACGTGTTGAGAACTATTTTCAACTCTGCGCCAGCGTACAAATTTAAGTTTTAGCGACTCAATTCTCTTCAATCCCATTACAATAATTTGACTAATTCATATCATTTTGCGAACTCAAGAATTGTTATGTTAATTTCAGCTTGTCGCTGTCTTACAGATATTCGGGATATTAAATACTCTTGTCTATTATTTTTCGTGTGTAATCGCGGGAAAATTGCAAATCTGCGATTTCCATTTTTACGTCTCCGTTAACATGGAACAAACTGTTAATTCAGACTTTAAGATTTTGATCAAAGAATTTAATTAACATTCCAAATTATAAGAAAAAAGAATCAATTAATTTTGAATCAATCTTCCGATTAGCATGATTTGATGCTCACTTTGAATCCGTCGGAGGGTCTGCAGAGAGGAAATACACGACCGCCGGGACATCCCGTGCAAATTTGCACTTACGAGCCTGACTTGACGACGAGCAGTATCTATTGCATCAGTTTATAATCTCATTCCTAGAAGCAGATTGTACGCTTGTATGCCAAATAAAGCGATCGTACATGCGAGAGCGTGTGGCGTAAGTAAAACGCGGGAACGCGTTCTACGCACTGAAAGGCCGATCTGGTTTCTGGCTGTTTCGTTTTCACTTGACCCTTGCCTGTGTTGCACGAGCGCAAATCAGAGGCAGGAAACGATGACGCGGCCGTGAATAACGAGTACACGAGAGAGGAACCGGAAATCGTTCGCGACGACAAATCCTACGGGTGCATGTTAATGCTACCCCGTGGTTAATGCACGCGTTTTTCGGAAGTAATCAGAACTCGTGAGAAACGAGGGGGAAAGATGCGATCTCTCGCGTACATTTCGCTAATTGACATAAAAAACGCCGGTTGCTGCCGGCAATTTAGATAATATATAATGATAAATTAAATGATTAGAAACATGTGGAATATGATTTTCTCTAAGAATGCTTAGTGATGCAATTATAAAATCGAAAAGACTTCCTTAAACTTCTAAATGAAAAACGTTACTATGAATTACAAAAGTGATGCAAAATAAAAGTAAATAAATGCATTCCAAAAAATATTTAACTGTAGATACATGTTCAGAATTCACTTCTCGTTTTTCGTAAATTGAGAAAAGACTTCGACTTCTAAAAAATTATTGATTATTATAATGCCACTTGCGAAAATGTCAGAAAACGCAAATTGATTGGCATCTCGCTTCTCGAAGGGACAAATTTATGTATACATCGACGAAACCGAAATAGAAATTTTCTAAGAGCTATTCATCAAATTGAAACAAGATTCTCTTACTATGCAATTGTCCGAGGCGCTGCTGCGAAAATTCCGTATCTCCTGCAGACTTCCCCAAGGACGAGGCTTGTCGGACTTGCCGGAATACGAGTGACAGTAGGGCGGCCGCGCGTACTCCATGCTGGAATTGATGTCCTCCAAGCTGTGGACCAGCGACTTCGTGACCTGGCCGCAGTACACCTTCGGGCTGAGCTTGTTGTTCGTGGTGTCCATGAGACGCTTCAGTCCCTCCGTCGACGCCAGTTTAGACGACTCCGCGGCGTCCTCGATCCCGTCGAGCAACGCTGCGGTACAAACGGACGCGAGGGATCCAACGGACGTACTGGCCAACATGGGTCGTGCCGTCGCAGCAGGGGCAGATGTTCCGGCGCAGGTGGTGGTCGTACCCTCCCCACTCCCCGCCACGTGCCGCATCTCTGTGAAAAAGCGCATTTCGTAGCTCCCCACCATCACTGCTGCTACATTCGCGCTGGTTAAACCCGAAGTTAAGGGAATTCCGTCCCCAATTTCGAATAGAATTCCTCGAAGAAGAAAGAAAAACCGGAATCCTAAAAATTATCGCGGGAAACGTGATTTTTGCCGCATCACTGCCATTTCCCGGAGTGCCACGAGTTACCTTTAGAGAAATCGAATTTTAGCTCCTCGCTCCACAATCTGGCCTCCGAGGTCGCGCGAACTGTCAATCGGTGTCCCGCAGCCTCATTGACAGGTTCTTTGGGTAATCGCGCGCTTACATTCTGTAAATAAATTATCCGTGAGCCAGGAACGTAACAGCAGAATATTATAGTAACAGAATATTATAGAATAAACTAAGTGATAAGCCGCTTTTAATATACTTTTGACGAATTTTGATTATATATATATTTTTTAAGATATAATAAAAAAATAAAAAATACAGTAAATTTTAAATTATATTTTAATTATTAAAAGTATCTCTAACGAGTATTTGGAATTTCAAAATGTATACTAAATTTATGTTGAAATTATAAAATAAATTTCGTCGAACAAAACTTGCATACTTTTGCCTTACATATCCTAATGATTTAAAGATATATTTTTAGCGTCGCTCACAATCAGATCACAGACGGTAAATTTAACGAAAAATCTAATTACAGAATTGATAAAGTAGAGAGATAGCATATTAACGAAATGGATTAATTTAGAAAGTACCCTATATTGCATATTGGAGTATTGTCTTCTTCGCTCGCAGTCGTTCGCCAGGTTTTTAGCCGAGCAGCTGCCGTAATCGTCCTTGAAACCAATACCGGAATCACTGTTGCTCGAATGAGCGGTCGACGTGCTGATGTTGCTCGGCTGAGGAGAGGCGGTGTCCAGGCGTACGCGTGCCTCGCTGTAAGGATTCGTCTCCCCGTTCGTGCAATCGGATATATACAGTGTCTGTATGGCACCGATAAGGCTCGTACAACTGTCGGGAAACTCCTGGCAGACGTTCAGCTCCGATGACTTTGTACACATAAATCCGAACACGTTACACGCACTGGAGTGCACTTCGTGGTCGATTAACTTGTAATAAATAGTGAAAACGTGACACGAGTTCGAGACGATGTCGTCCGTGTTCCTCATGGACTTGGTTAATATCCCGAAATACTGCTTGTCCTGCTCGGAGAAGGAGTTGCAGAATATTATCCGGTACGAGGGGTACTCGGCGATAATGCGATTCTCCGAATTCGTGAGCTTAATGTTGGCAACGTGAATGGTGAGAAGGACGGTGGTTGGATTTCGCTTCTCGGCCTTCAGTCTTTTAATGCACTTTCTCAAAACCTGCAACAAGAATGAAAATTCATATTGTTTTCGCGCCATTAAGGTAAACGTACCAGTGGCTGAACATGTATCTATATCTGAACACGTACACAAAATTTATCAATGTCAAATACTTTTTTTATTATAATATCAAAATTTAATTGTAAAAACATTTAAAGATTACAATTAAATTATAATATTATGAAGAAAATTATTTAAAAATAAATCTTTGTGTACTTGTTTAGTTATAGATACACGTTCAGCCACTGATACGTTTACCTTATATCTCTCTATATTATTATTCTACAGCACAAAAATAAATATCACAGAGTGACATGCTTACCGACATTGATTTGACAATTAAATCTTCGTTCAATTAAACTTACAATTAAATCGACAAACTATTACGTAATTCATTTCCAAGTGTATCGGAAATGTACCTGCATCATAGAGGACGGATGTAACTGATTCGGTATGTCGATAGTGCCGAGATAACCGACGACCGTTCTGTGCACGATCTTCTCGGAGTCGCGCTTGTGGGAGACCGGCGGCGGCGGCGGCGGGAGCGGACTGGTCATGTTCCAGCGGTAGTGCAGGCCGGAGTAATTGTACTGAACGTCCTTAACGTCGGGCGCTGGGACCAGGCCGGCCGGGACCGTGTGGAACATCGCGCCGCTCTGCAGATCCCTGACCACCTTCGCCGCCCGGCACTGCAGCTGGAGGGCGCCCGCGCCGGCGGCCCGCGGCTTGTGCGCGTACTTGGGCTTGGATCTCACCGTGGCCAAGCCCTCCTCGTCCGAGGAGTCGGAGTAGTAGTTCTCGGCGATCTGCAGCCGCAGGACGCCCCTGGAGCTGCCGATCAGCTGCACCACGTCGTCGTGCGGCACCTTGCTGACGTTGTGGCCGTTGACGGCCACCAGGTAGTCGCCGGCGCGCAGGCCGGCGCCCTCCGCCGGGCTGCCCTGCACGATGCAGCTGAGGATGCACGGCTGCTGGCCCGATATCGTGAAGCCGTAGCCCTTCGCGCCGCGGACCACCTCGACCGCCCTCACGCCGTAGTTCACCCGCTTCTTCTTCCGCCTGTTCTGATGCATGTCTACCTGCCTGCCTGCCTGTTGCGTTGCGCGTGCGACGTCGTCACGAGGGGTCCACGGGGAGACGCGCGCGTTCACCACCGTTGCCGAGGAGGTCGCGGTGGCTCGCTGACTCCATAATTCGTGACCTCACGCCTGATCCTCCACGACGGTCATCTCCTTCCGCGACGACTCTCTCCACGATTTCCCTCGATCGCAGCCTCGATTGCAGACTCCCCTGGGAGTCTAGAGCCCGGATTCCTCCTCCTCCAGTGACGGACCTCCCGGGAGAAGCTTCTCCGCGAGACGGCACGACGAACTGTCACTTGTGCGGGACTGATCCTGGCGCTCGGGACTCCGCTCGTACGCCCCACTTCCTGCCCGCGGAAATCATTCGGTGGATCATTCGCCGATCTCCGATCCCGATGGAGGTAATCGGGAACCCTGGACGCTCGCCACTCCGCGTCGCTCGTCGGCCGAACCTCGCTAACAGCAAGCTCTACTCTACGAGCGGATGTTTTGGAATGCGTCCATCGAGAAGGCTAGAGAAGGTGATCGACCTTGTGGCAAACACGCTTAGCCCGAGGTGGCTCGCCGACGTCGTCGCAGCAAGTGATTGGCTGCTGACGAGCAAGTTCTGGACATTTCAAGCCTTCCTTACCGGCCAATCAATATTCTCGACACTTTGAATTCGGTCTGTTCGTTTCGTCCACTTTACTACGATCTATTCATTCAACAAATAAATAATAAATTAATACTATAATAAAACTATTAATCTCACTTATTTTATAAGTTCACTAATATTATTTTATAAAATCGCAGAATAATAAAAAAAAACCGACTAGAAAACACGATCTACTTTCTCTCTCAAAATTTTGTCAGAAGCCTCAAGTTGCGAATCGCTCGAAAATCTTAAGTTTTTCAAATACAAATACATTTTTTCCCCCTGAGGATAATCGCGTTTTCGTATTCTATAATTAATTGACAAGAGATCGTTTTTATTTTAGATTAACATATTAAAGCCTGGACGACAGATTTGGCGAAAGAAATTCGATCGTAATCGAAGCGTTTTATCTTCCAAAGTAAAAAAAATCTTCGTTCTATCTGATATTCCGTTGTTTATCACGATCGGCACGCTTGACGCTCGTTTTTTCTCTTTTATAGATTACATATATATACACCCCGCTGTTCCGTGGCGCAGTTCAATTCAGATTTCAGCATTCGCGGAGAGTTAATGCTCGACTTGCACGTGCATTATTCGGCATCACTCATCTCATCGGAGTGTCAACACTAACATACGTCAAGAAGTCACGCACGAGAAGTCACCGGCTAATCGGCGGCCGATAACGAGCGGTTACATAAATCGCTATCGTCGGCGAGGACGACGAAGAAGGGGTAAGCGCGGGGTTCCAGCACGTTCCACCGGTTCGTCCTCCGTCCGGTCCTCCGTTTGCCCGAGTCGTCATAAGTCTTGTACCGGCGTACCGGTCATGTCTGTTTGCCTTCTCGCCTCGAGTAATGTACCTCTGCAATTAAGCTTACAATTAGCGTGGATTACATGCGCGCGCGCGCGCGCGACGCAACCGGTTTTATGCGATTATCGAGAACGGGCTGCGAGAGAACGAGATTTTTCCCGTCACTCGCTCGCGAACCGCCTGATCCGCCGCGAACGGTCGACACTCGCCTCACGGACGGACGATATGCCGCGTCACGGAATCTGCCTCGCGATTCTCTGTTTGGGTATCCGAAACGCGCGCCCCGATTACCGCTCGATTCCCGGCGAAAGGGCGCTTGCTGGCGCAACCGACCGACGTTTCGATTGTTGACAAGAGCTTGATACACGCATCGGTTGCGTGCCAATCAGTGTCCGTTGTGCCACCAAGTGTCCTCGATTTTTTTTTTCGCTCTGTCATTCGGTTGCCCTCCTCTCTTTGACGTACGATAGAACTAACGGAAGTAATTACTTCGCTCGCAGGAATCACATCAGCGGTAGGAACACGTCTGCTGTCATCCATGGCACAGGCTCTGAAGACCCACGAGGTTATTCCAGACGTGGTGAACAAGGTGCCGGCCAACGTCCTGAATGTGACCTATCCCAATAATCTCGTCGTCGAGATCGGCAAGGTGCTCACTCCGACCCAGGTCAAGGATCAGCCTAACGTTCAGTGGAGTGGAGAAGCAAATGCGTTGTACACCCTATGCATGACCGGTTTGTAGCCTGTCTCTCATCAAAAACTAGAGCGAAAGCAGTGTATAATGTTTTTATTTCTTTTTGAGAAATTACATTGATTTATTTCTTTTAATCGTACTGGAGCTATTTATGTCTTTGAAGTATCTTTGCAATTTTTTATTTCTTTTTGAGAAATTATATTGATTTATTTCTTTTAATCCTACTGGAGCTATTTATGTCTCTGAAGTATCTTTGCAATTTTTTATTTCTTTTTGAGAAATTACATTGATTTATTTCTTTTAATCGTACTGGAGCTATTTATGTCTCTGAAGTATCTTTGCAATGCATTTTTAAAAGTCTGCAAAATTTGTGATTTTGATTTTTTATTTTGTTCTACAAGCGTTATAATAAAAGATGTTGTTATTTTAAAGAAAGCATGAGAGGAAGAAGACATTTCGACAAAAATAACACTAACGTTTAAGGTAAACGTACCAGTGGCTGAACATGTATCTATATCTGAACACGTACACAAAATTTATTAATCTCAAATACTTTTTTTATTATAATATCAAAATTTAATTGTAAAAATATTTAAAGATTACAATTAAATTATAATATTATGAAAAAAATCATTTAAAAATAAATTTTTTTTGTACTTGTTCAGCTATAGATACACGTTCAGCCACTGGTACGTTTACCTTAAAATTAAATTCAAAGTAACTCTCGCTTTACTCTCGCTCTGAGTTCTTCAATAGCAAATAGATAAGTCATATGACTTTGTATCTTATACCGTGTTCTCTAAACAGATCCTGACGCTCCAAGCAGACAGAATCCCAAATTCCGTGAATGGCATCACTGGCTGGTAGGCAATATTCCCGGATCAGACGTCTCTAAAGGAGAGGTTCTGTCTCAGTACATCGGCTCCGGACCGCCGCAGGGTACAGGTCTCCACCGATACGTTTTCCTGTTGTACAAACAGCCTGGCAAGCTCACTTTCGACGAGAAACGCTTGACCAACCGGAGTGGCAACAATCGCGGCAAGTTCTCCATTAAGAGCTTCGCGAAGAAATATAAACTCGGCGATCCGATCGCCGGCAATATGTATCAGGCGGAGTTTGATGATTACGTTCCGATTCTCTATAAGCAGCTCGAGGGTTAATTTTGTGTACAATGAATACAATAATATATGTAATATTTTCGATAGCACACATGTTTATACATAATGTATATGCAACCGTTTGTTGAATAAATATGCATCAAGAATTTTTCAATTAATATCTGTGCCTATTGTAGTTAGAAAAGTAATAAATAAGTCTTTCAATTTCAAGCATAATTTACTTATAAATTTAAAAAATTAAACTGTTACACAAAACTAAGAAATAAGTCTTTCGATTTCAAGCATAATTTATTTATAAATTTAAAAAATTAAACTTACACAAAACTAACAAATAAGTCTTTCAATTTCAAGCATAATTTACTTATAAATTCAAAAAATTAAACTGTTACACAAAACTAGAAAATAAGTCTTTCAATTTCAAGCATAATTTACTTATAAATTTAAAAAATTAAAATGTTACACAAAACTAACAAATAAGTCTTTCAATTTCAAGCATAATTTACTTATAAATTTAAAAAATTAAACTGTTACACAAAACTAGGAAATAAGTCTTTCAATTTCAAGCATAATGTACTTGTAAATTTAAAAAACTAAACTGTTACACAAACTAAAATGAAAGAACAAATAATATGAACAAAACTTTGGTAGCGATTGAAAGTTTATATCGACGTTAAAGTATTACATGAAAATTAATATTAAATCATTTTTCCTTATCTGCATCAAATTAAAGATATATATCTTCATATTATCGTATGAATTAATCTTGTGATCTATTCTATGATATAACAAATTTTCCCAGGAAAAATCTCGACCACAAACGTTCTGTGCTGTATGTGTCACTAATAAATACACGATATTAGAAAGGCCGGCAGGACTGGCCTTAACACGCGAGTAGGTGGGGATACATCTAGCAACAAAATCCCATCGCTTACCAGTCTCGCTGTTAATATCGCTGTTGCAGCTTGTTGGGAACATCATCGAAAATGAAGTATTTGATATCAGGTTTGTTAGTTTTGCTATTTTATATTATTTTGATAGAAAAAAATCGCAATATTTATAAGTCATCTTGGTGTTTCAATTAATAATACTTTGATCTTTTTTATACAATTTTTATCATGTAATAATATTTCATGTATAGCTTTAGGAATTCTTTTCTGCGCCATCAGTTTTTCATTAGGCGATGTGGAATCGGAATTTAAAAAGGCGAAAATCGAGCCCGACATTATAGACAAAGCACCAATCGAAAAGATCGAGGTACGTATTTGCAAAAATATTCACAATGACATTTTTATTGTATAGCTAAGACATTGTCAAGTAAACGGGTATTTCCTATATTTCTATTGAGAAAAATGATATTTATTCTAATATATAATATATAAATATGCCAAGACTTTTTTTCTAAATGTGCTTGCAAATGTATTTGCTTCATTATTCGATATGAACTGTGAGAAATGTAATCATTTTGTCTTACAACATAATGTGTAGCACAGCTATCTATAAATGATTTTGTATTGCATAGGTAAAATACGGTGAGAAAGTAGTCGATTTGGGAACCGAACTGACGCCGACTCAAGCTCACGAGATACCAGAAATACACTACAAACACGAAGGCGGAGTTCTGTACACGCTCGTCTTGACGGGTGAGACTTGAAATGATTACGTCTGAATTCATTAATTGTAAAAAAAAAATATATATATATATGCACTTGCAAGGATAAATTCCAAGGCGAAAAATCAAAAGCAACTCAAATGCGAATCGATTTCTTTACGTATACTTTTTGTAAATCGCGAGGCAAACAAATACACAAAAGACGCGCTATCCTCGATGAGTTCAACTTTCACCGTCTCGGAAACCAGTTTTCTCCACCGCCACACTACTTGGCGACGCGCAGATTCTCTGGCATGTTAATTGTCAAGCTAAGCCTTATATAAAGTATGCTAATGCTAAAGAATCGTTGCAACGCGCGCGAACGTTAGAACTTACAATTAGTACACTTCCGACTTGTACGTTTCCAATCGTTTCGCAATTACTTTCATAGGTTTCTTTTTCGCAAAAATTCTTACATATCTCAACAGGAGTATATCTCATTGTAGATCCTGACGTGCCGAGGAGGGGAGGATACAACCGAGAGTTCCGACACTGGCTCGTGGGAAATATACCGGAGGAGAACATAGCCAAAGGCGAAGTCCTGGCGGAGTACGTCGGTCCTGCGCCGCCGAAGAACACCGGAAAACATCGCTACGTGTTTCTCCTTTATAAACAAAATCAGGGCGCAATTACCTTCGACGAGAGAAGATTGAGCACTTGGTAAGCAAACGCATAGCTGACGGCGCGGCGTGCGTCGCACAGGAGATATTTGATAACACGTTTTATCTCACCTGATTATAGGGATGGAAGTCAACGGAAAAGGTTCTCCATAAAGAAGTTTGCGGAAAAATACAACCTGGAGGGTCCGATCGCCGGTAACTTTATGGTGGCGGAATACGACGACAATGTGCCTGCTTATCATAAGCGTTTGAACCTCTAATCAACCGGCATTAAATTCCTTTTAAATCTAAACACAAATTTCATACGTAATTTTAAATCCTGCTACTACTCGCATATATAAACTCTATCGGAATTATATTATACGAAGAGTGTCGCGCAAATTTGTGCCATTATTTAATACAAGAAAATCAAAAATAAAATCATAACGGACTTATTTATACCTGATCTTTATTCGAACCTCTTTGTGACAAGTACTATCATATTTTTTATATGCATTTCTGCAAAAATATAATTATAAACGGTAGAAATAAGTGAAGTAATTATTTACCAGCAGATATAAAGGCCTTATTCAAGAGATTCTGTTTATTTTTCGTTGCTGTTGTTTTATTGTTATAAATATAAAAGGTACATGAGACATTCATTACGTTCGTATCCCCGAGGTCGTTACATGACGTTACTGCGCCTTTGAGGGCGTATCACTAGTAGTACGTGTGAATCCTTAATTTTTAACGAGCTTATCACCTACGTTCGATTATTAAATATCTGCGGTTTTTAACGTTATACACATTGACTAGAATATAATGAGCGCAATTCGTAATTGAGAATTACGAATACTGATAAGATATCACGCCGCCTCCAGCCACGTAAATACCTTAAAAAGAGCAGAAGCTAAGTCGGGAAGCAGAAAGTTAAATTCCATCATGAAATTACAGAGAAGTACAGAGTGCAGCCTTTCTTCCTCTTGTGTATTCGCCTTTACGGCGACATGGAAATTAAATACGTACATGTTGCCGTTCCCGCTGTCTCGTAGGCCTTTAGAATATCGATAATATATGTTTCAATCTAATCGAACACTTCCCTCGTACTCCCTTTCGCCGTCCTCGAGAATACTCGTCCCTCAAGCGAGTGCGCGCGTTACGTTACTTCAAAACAAAATTAAATAAACGCGATGCCTTATCGTTAATGCTTTTTTTTTATCACACTATGTTTGTGGACAGCGCGACGTCGAAGAAACATAAATCTTCTCGTCGATGCTGAATAAATAAATCTTGTCAATATTATAAAATGACGCGCTTCAACCGAATACCTTTTTCCGCGATATATATTTTTCATTGATTCACTCTCTTGCGACTGCACAGCTTACGGTGTCTTCATTGTTTTTTTTACAGTACAACGGGCACATAACTTATCAGATCGGCAAACTAAAATATATACTACAAAAAAAAAAACTTCTTTCAGAATAGCACCAATTTGAGCTCACTGTTGAATCGACCGATGTTTTCCTCTCGTCCGTTGAATGTGCAATATTACGTCTTGTCTCGAAGAAACGTCTATAAGTATATTCCTACTTGCGCAAGAAATATCCCATCCGTGGCAGTGACAGCGGTCTTGCAATCGCCTTTGATCGTGATTGGCAGCGACAATAATGCGTTCAGTGCAATCCGAAACACCAGACTCGATGATGGAGACTCTCCTTGTATCATCCATTACTGAACATCCTTAAAACATCCTCGTTGATCATACTTTTGGATTATCGTGATTAAATTGCTCGTAATAGATAGCTATTATTCCGATACGACCGGTACCGGAAACCGGCAGTTTGTATCACGATCTATGCATTAGAATCAATCATTATCAACAACAGTTTTCAAGGCAAAACCAGATCTGGATATACGGTCATGTTCCAGCAAAGTTGATGATCCCGAACGTCTCCCCATCCGCCGTTACCCTTGCGAAGTTTCGTCTTCTTCGCCGTTCCGGCGATTGTTAACGTTAACTGCGAGGGGAACAGGTGATTGCGCGCCGCATTCAGGACGTTCTGGACCTTCGCTATCACCGCCGTCGATTCGCAGTTATTCTTCTTATGATGCACCCCACTGTAAAAGTAAAAACGATCAATTAGGAATGATAATCTTAACATCGTGTTAGCGAATGATAAAAGAGAGAGAGAGAGAGAGAGATGTGGAGGGTGTCACAGGATAACACACTGAGAAAAAAAATTGGTTGAAAAACGCAAAATTTGTTTCATCTTACCAAAATATTTAGTCCGATACATGTAACTAAACGTTACTACGATGATACAAAATAATTTGTTACTATTATAAACAAAATACTTTTTTAACTAAACTATTTTGTTTCAACAAAAATTTATCGTATTTAACTCAACCGTTCGATTAAAAATACACACTATTTATTATCCCCATCAGCATCGTTTAGTGAGTTTGATACTTGGAATTTGAACAATTATATTACTTGGATAACAAAATAGCATGCAAATAAATACTATTAGTATTTCGAACAAAATAATTAAAAAGAGTTGGTTTAGTTCATTCTTGATTAAACAATTTGGATAGATGACGTGAATGAATTATACTTTTTTTTTTGTGCAACTAAAGAATTGTTAAATCAATCACTCGATCAAACAACTATGTACAAATTTAGTTCGTACAATCAATTTTTTTTCTCAGCGCAGTTTAATTCTCGTTTATAAGCAAAATAAGCGAAGGACTGATACTCACCATTCTCCGATATGGAAGACTCGCGGAGCTCTCATCGTCATCGTGATCAGACCGGATTCGGCGCGGGGCGCTATCCCGGCGCCACGACTGGACGGCAGACACGTTTGCGCGATGTACTGCAGACTCCAGTCCCAGTTGTAATCGTCGTACGAGCAAAACTGGGCCGCGCATTTTCGTAGCTTGTTCCACGTGACACGATTGAACGCCATGCCCATGTTGTGCTTGCTAGATATCCATGGAGTAACTTCCGCCTGTCCCAACAGAACGACAGGTCGTCATTAACGAGCTCACGGTGCACAAAATTTCGCAATTTCTTTTACTTCACGTCTCTTGCATCACGGTAAAAAAAATCTACTGGGGGGGAAGTCTAACATCCGGATATTACGTGTCTATAACTAAAGCGAACAGTTGAGACAAAGTCAGAATTTCAGTCGTAAATATCTCCTATTATACTTCTTCCGGACTCTGAGAACTGCCATTTGTTCTTGCCAAAGACACACAACTCGTGTGACTTCGGTCATGCGTGCGAAGACACTTCTCGTACTTCGCTCGCAGTAACGACCGGGCTGATTGTATTATGACTTTGTATCGTGCATGTGACGGTAATAGATGCTCGGAACGTGCACTACTGCCTGGAGGGGGAAATGGAAATTCGTCTACAGAGGTGTGTTTCTATACCTATTGCGTTTGGCATGGTAAAGAATATGCTAAAGTTGAACGTTGAATTGAACACAAACGTTCACAAAGTTCAAGTGTCTAAAATTCGCTACTCCGTCTCTACGGAATTTAAAATTGCACGCTTTCCCGGACCTCTAATTCAACGTCAAGCAGCCACCAATCGATCGCCATGCAACGCGTCCCTTGCTGGCTGGATTGATGCGAGCCGGCGGAAGCGAGCCGTGCAAAATTTGGCAATGTACAAAGTTTATCGAGAGGGAAGAGATGGGCGGGGGGGGAGTAAAGGGGGACGACTACGCTTGCATTTTCCTAATATACGGCGGAAGGCGAAGCAAAAGGAAAAAAAAAGTAAAAGAAGAGGAGGGTCTGGTGCGAGGCCACAGGCGAGTAGAAAGAATCAAAGTATGACGGCAGGACGGTTTGTTGCTGCTACTCGGACGAGGGATTCGACGGATTTGGAGAACCTTCTGATAGTGGTTGTAGAGGCTGGGCAGGAGTTGGAAGGCCCACCCGGGCGCCGCTTGCATCGTGTTCGCGTTCTGATAGTAGGCAGGCACGCCGCCGACGCCGACGCCCCTGACGCCGCCGCCGGTACTCCTGTTACCGATGCCGGCGGCGTAACCACCGGCGCTACCAACGCCGTCGCCACCACCGCCGGTGACGGTGACGATGCCGCCGAGCCCGTTGCCGATCTGCCGCCTCTGCACCATCGTCGCCTCCTGCCGCTTTAATCCACGCAGCAGCTCCTTCTGCAGAGCGCTATCGACGCCGAGGAACTAACGGATCGGGCGTGCGTGAAACATCGACACAGAGACATACTAATGGTGAACATATGATATGAACGTCGGATACGTTTGACGCCGTAAACGGTGCGACGGTGCGCAAACGACACGATATTTCCGCCTTCGAAGATTTCTGCGTGTCGAATCGGAGAGAAAGAGAAAAAAAAAATTACGCTGTGTGTGTGTGAGAGAGAAACAAAAATGTCTTGTTTGAAAGCGAGGGATCGCGGTTTCGTTGGGGTATATGGTGTAACGCTCGCGCTAATTTTGCCAGATACTCTGTCACGCTACAAGCACCAGCAACGACGTACTCGTGCGCCAGTGAGAAAAATCGCTGTTGTATGTACGCCTAATTATGATTGAGGAAATGAATGCGTGTGAGCCGCTAAATAAACATTAGATCGTCTATGCATTGTCGAACGCCCTGTACAAATGTGCCTCTCATTAATAACGTATGCCCGCCCGATATATTCGTACGTTCTTTATTTTTGTGCATAGAGCATCGCGCAAAGCAAAATTACGAGTGTTAACGAATGTATGCCAAAAGTATGAAGTTCTCACCTTACGACTAAAATCCGTAAAATAGTTGTACGTCTTTAAATATGTACCCAACGACAGAACGTTGCACCTCTCGCAACTGAGCTTGCAAGTGCGCTCCATGAGTCTGAGCACGTGTAAGAAATCTTCGGCGACGTAGTGATCCTCCTCGAGGAAGAGGACCATCCCCGTGTGGTTTCGCGTCACCGACAGCTGATCGAACACCCGGTTCGCTTTCCACCACCAGTGATGCTTGGTCTGCGTGAACTTCGCCTCCCTGTAGTGGCCGTACAAGTCCGGGTGTTTGGCGTTGGTGCATTTTAAATTTAAGGCCCTGCGATTCGCGTAAGAGAAGACAAAATTCGATTGAATCGGATAAACTCGGGGAAGAGGTTGGTCGACAGATTGCAACTTACTGCTCCTTCCGAATATTTCGCGGACAGTCGTTGGGTCCTTCGCCGGGAAACGTATGGGGATGAGTCTGTATGCTGTGCGGATAGAAGATCTGCATTACCCTGCAAAAGTCGACGCTCTGCACGAGATAGTTGATATCCGGGTGCCAAATGTCGTGGCTAAATACGAGGAGGGCCTGCTCGATATCCTTAGCTTGCGCCAGTGAGACGATAAGGTGCCGCAGATAAGTGAGCCGCGTGTGCACTTGGATGACTATAATTGGAGCGTCGCTGGCCAACGGCCCGAACGCCTCCTCGTTGTACACTTTTTGCTCCGCATTCGCCCGCTCGATTTTATGACGGATCTCCACGATCTCCAATTCCGTGAGCGTTCCCGAGTTGGAATTCGTCAAGTTTGTGGACGAGTTACGTCCTTCCTTTAAAAATCTGAAAACAGAAGCGTTCGAGACGTTGGCGAAAGATGAGATAATTATCGAGGTAATTATATTAATGTTATTTCATCGCATCAAAAACTTTCCACTTATTATCGATAATTAAAAACCTTCTTCGAAAAAAGGTAGTTTACAAAGAATAGTAGATAATATCTTGAGAAAAACAGACTTGCCTTAATTTAATTTTTAAAAGAGATGATATTAAAATATGTATCAAATTGGAAGATGAAAAATTATACAACTACCCCATAATCCATACTTTTTTTCAATATTAAGCTCACGCGCGCGTCAACAATATATTAATAACAATATTAATGATAACTACATTACTGCAAAGATAATTCTACGGAACTTGCGAGATTACCTGTGCAACTCTTGAGGCACGAGGGAGAAAAGCGTCTCGTTCGATGACGCTTGCGAGGACTCATCTCGACCAGTCAAACTGACCACATGAAGCTGAAGACAGAGGAACGTAGCCAGGAAGACGAACACGAGAGTCCTCAATAAAAATCCGCGACCCGGCCTCGAGCCTCCAGCGATCGCCGTTCCTTAAATAAATATCTTTCGTTAAATCTCCCATTAAACGTTACAATGCATTTACTCTGACGTGGTGTATTGTACGAGTATTGAAAGCGACGCAAGTTTAAAGACACCTGAAAATTCATACTAAATCAGCTGCGAGTTTTATCTGGGATTCAAAAATCGATTCTAGTTGATGCAAAAAAAATTTTTTAAATTAATCTCGCAAAACGACAAAACGTACCTAAAATGTAGGTCTCGTATCATCGAATCATACTTTATATATGAATAATGGAATATCGATATAAACTTACCTCCCGACTTTTTCCTGGTATATAGTGTACAGCCAGGGTATTGCTTCGCAAAACCTTGTATGGTCGAGTCGTGAGCTTTTCCTGCACACATAGATAATTAACCGATAATATTAAACAAGTGTATATGTATATATATATAATTATACGATAGTCGATAGTCAACTAGGTTTCCTTTATCGCTTGGTGCTCTATCGCCTTTTCTTTTAAGTTGTGACAGTATAGAAAAATGAATCATACAAAAGTATAACGTTAAAACTGCATGGAATAACATAATGCTCTCGGAATAATATTGAACTTCTTAATAAATTTAATATAAATGTTTTAATATATTTTATATATTTTCTAAATTTAGTAATCGATTACTCTGTAATTAAGATTACAGGAAATTACAGGAATTGAGTAATTGATTATCAAAAAGTAATCGATTATGCCCATCTCCGATATGTATAGAACTTTGTTTTATAATCGAATATAAATGATATTCGGAATTTAAATTTTTTATGTCTTACTTAAATTAATACCCACGGGATTAATTTAATACAGAAAAAAATATCAATTTAGAATTCTAACCTGGAATTTAATCTATATTATATTAATACATTTAAATATATCTTTTAAATATAAAAATTTAAAACTCTAAATATTATTTTTAAAAATATTTGTTTTCCAAAAAAAAAAAAAGATTTTTACTTCTCTATTTAAGGAAACAATTTTAATAGAAAGTGCATAAAATGACTGGCCCATTTCAATAATCCTATTTTTTAAGAGGATAAACAGTCCGAATTAGATAGCGCGTTAAATTTACCTTACAATCGTAATGTGATGTATAATTACGTAAAAGACGCCAATGCGATCGATCGTTCCTACGGAACGGGGTGTCCACTCGATAAATATCGTCAAGCCGTGAAAAGTGCCGGGACAATGAGGCCTACGTGATAATGCAATATATTCGCGTATGCGGACGAAAATTTGTATTTGTACAGGTCGAATATTTGGCTGGCAAGCAATCACGTTGCCTGGAGTACGATTTTATATTTTATATTCACGATACGCGCGCGCACTGTACAAAATTAAAACAGTATTAAACGGGTAACGTGAATAACGCCGAGCGAAACGAGGGAATTGCAAATCGCGCTACCGTTTCTCAAATATTCGACGCAAACTCGCAAACATCGTCGCGTTTATGTAACTCGAATTTTATATAACTCGACTGTGCATTATCGTAAACGTTGTCATACGTAACGTTGTCACGGTATGCATCATTTTACATGACGAGTCGGCGCCGTACGTCGGCTTGACGAGCACTTGTCAGGTGGACACGTCGCCTTTTGTGTTTGTCTTTACACAGAGTGATGATGTAAAGGCATATTGCGAGCTTTGTACGTTTTCTGGATGTTAGAAATAAAATCCTCTCCTTTGTGTTTCAAAATTGAAACCTTTTATATGGCAAGCGAGCTACCGCTATTGGATTCGGGGAACAATACGTTTCAATACTTTAACCCGTTACGAAGCGAGATTTGACAAACCCCAGATACTATATAAACAGAATTATTATCTTCAAAATTCTCTTTCATTCTCTCTCTTTGTTTTCCAGTCTGTCATTATTAATGAAAGAAAGGTTTGAAATAATTCTGTGACAATTTTTATCGCTAATAGTTTCCGGAAAAAACAATTTTCGTTTTAAGTGGACCGTCCTGTATAAACGTCGTTTAGAAATCGTTTTGACTAAGCAGGCCTTAGGCTATGTGTTCTCACCTTTCATAGTGTCATTTCTAGGAGATCGTCCTGAAACAAAATTCACATGGAATATTAGCGAGTCGTGTCGAGAAACTCGAGGGACTAAATTCAAGTATATAATTATTAGCGTCAAACAAAAGTTGCGATCGGAGAGCGTTATTGTGTCATTTTATCTTTATCGTTAATTGGGCGTAAAACAAGGACAAAATGACGCAAATAGCGCTAATAGCACGCTCTCCAAACTCATACAAAGTCAATCAACAAGAAAGATAAAATAACGTCAGTTGCTTTTTGAAATTAAAACAAGATTGTCGATAAAGCTTATCACAATTAACGCTCTGATTGCAGCTCGATTTCCCGTGTACATACGTTGCACGAGTGAGAAGTTCAAAGTGTTAAAACGCGGAATATTTCGTATTTCGTATTTCGTATACGCTACAGCGGATTTGTGCAGGAATGTGCAATGATACTATCAAAGATCCCGCATGAGATAAGTTTGAAACGCGAAAGCTCTTCATACGATATTTTAAACATTTATATAATGCATCGATAACAAAGAAAAAAATCCGACGCTATTGTTATTCGGCCTCACAAAGAGAATTATGTAATTTCTAACAATTATAATTTATGTAAGAATTATAAATAATTAATGATTTTTTAAATATAATTTCTATAATTGATTTGTATGATAATAAAAGAGAGCTGAAGTTTTATTTGTCGTAATCTTCACTCTAATCTCCCCGTTGTCTTCATTTCTCAATATATCTTATATGAAATCAACGTTTTCTTTCGTAAACCATATTTGCCCAAACTCTCGCCATCACTTAACATATGTAAGTATGTATTCGACTTTCTCGAAACTGTTTGTCGTATATTTCTAGAATCTTCGAAACGTTTATAGCTTCGCGGAGTATTAGTTTATTTTTTTATATTTATTTACCATAAAGTATTACGATAAAAATATCTAGATATAGACAATCTTTTTTTCCTTGCATTTATCAGCATGTTTCAATTAAAAAATATATATATATATCTATATATATATATATATATATATATATATCATTATTATTTTTTTAATTGTACGACTGCATACCACGGTTTAATTATTATTAAACAGCACTGCATTGCTGACATCACTCGAGATAGCAATTATCTGTCGATTGCCTGCCTGACAATGTACATACATACGTGCGTGAATATCGCCGAATTATCAGTATTACTGTTTATTGTCAAACGATGTGACAATAACGCGGATGATTATTGCAGATAAAAAGGCCTGTATGACGTTTTATCAAACACACCTTTTTCAATCGAGCTTCCTATAAAGTGCGACATGCATTGCGCGCGTTTTGCATAAAGAGTTTATAAGGTAATGATGGCACGCTCCGCGACGTCGCGGAGCTTGAAGATAAACGGCGCTGCTTCCGTGTGGTGAGATGTCTATGATAATGCGTTAATGCTCGATTCACCTTCATAGCGACAGCGGAATGACGATACTATCTCTCGCTATTACTGCAATATAATTTTCTCTTCGCTACACACGTATACCTATTATTTTGCATAGTATGTGAAATTTCCTCTTTCAAACTTCGCATCAGAGGAGTGAATTAATAATATTGGATTGAATGTGAAGAATTCATGTGTCACGCCTCGAAAAGGTTTATCCCTGGGAAATCTAAGAAGTTCTGAGAAAATTGATTCTTCAAATTATGTAAAAAAAATCATGAGAAAGATTGTGGAACAAAAGCATAATTGCATGGATCTTAGATATATCTAAAAGTTTCGCTCTCTTGCATCTTTTCAAAAAAGTCGACACAAATTTTCCGAACACTTCAGACTCATGGGATAATTAAGGAAAGATAATTGCAATGATACATACTAATGCTCCATATTTAACTAAATCCTAATTAAATCCTATGATTAATAAATTCGTCATGTGGAAAGTGCAGCAATAGCGTTCTTCGTTTGAATAATAATACGATATAAAGAGGCAAAAAAAAAAAGTGAATTGAAGAGAACTACTCCGTAAAAAACGTCTCGAATAACACTTCTATATTTAATTAAATCTGATAATTCGCCAATTATTTCCTCGCAATCATCCTCTCAGTCACTTGTCAATACCGGAAGAGCGAATCTTTTATTCCGGGAATATCAACTGGATACCGCGTCACGGATAAAATTAAAGGTGCATTCGTTTACATATATATGTGAAGATGAACGTTCGACGAGCGACGAGATCGATAAAAAGCGAAAAAGAGGAAAAGAGAGAGAGAGAGAGAGAGAGAAACAGAGATTTAAAATCTCTGCGTGGGAAGAAAACTTTATGTGTGGCGCGCTCCAGAGTAACTTTCAGCTTTTCGCGTGAAATTCCGCGCACCATCTCTCTCTCTCTCTCTCTCTCTCTCTCTCTCTCTCTCTCTGATTTAGTCGTTATATTTATCGCGGTGACAATAAAAAGACTCGCGGCTATATGTGCAAGGCAATGCTTCTGCCGCTGCTCTCGCACGTGCAATCGTCGAATTCCGCTCGCGGATATCTTCGATCCACCTCGTTTTTCTGGCAACCGTTCAACGCACGCCGAATTCCCTGCCGACCTACTCGTTCTGCTCGAACAGACCGTCGCGATTCCACTAGCGATATCGTTTGACATTTCGGTCGAATGATAAGCGATTTGTGTGAAAAGACCGGTTTCGAGATCCCTGCATTGCGATATACCACGCCAATTGAACGGCACTGCATTAGTAATTATGCAACACTTGAGGCATCTCAATGTCATAATTATATCTTCATTGCCTTTTAGAAAATAAATAAACGTTTTTTTTTTATTACAAATGCAAATTCACACGTCAATCGCGTCATTTTCGCTAAATTTAAAAGATTGCTATCATTAATAATTTCAATGCTATGCAGGTCTTTCGCGAGTCACACATATTATCGGTTCCATTAAATTCTAATAATTTCCAATCGTACTTTTCACATTTCTTCAAAATTTTGTTTCCGAAGAGAAAATTCGTCTTGAACGGCAAGAGAAGACAACAAGAACGAAAACAATCATTATTGTAATTATAGGAATATCATATTGTACCATATTGCCATCTAATATATTGATATTTCATTACTATCGTGTTATACATTATATCGAGAGATAGCGATATCGGTAGTAAAATTCAGGGGTTATCTTGCTCGACTTGTAAATAATATTATCAATTATCGTTACCTCGGTGAAGAAGAATGTAGTATCGTCCTCCGGCCCTTCATTTTCACGAAATCTAAAACATAACATATAAAAAGTACGAATTACGCAATCGCATTAATTTTTAACAAGAGTGTTCGAGAGTGATATACAAAATACAAAAACAAAAAGGTCTCTAACTCATTTATGAATTGATATAACTTCAGAGATTAACTTAGAATTATAAGCACATCCATCTCGTAAATAAAATTAAGGCAAAAAAAAGAAAACGTGAAAAAAAAATTGATTCACTAATCTTATTATTATTGCCTTTATATTCACATCGATTTATCTAAAAAAATAAATAAACGATAAGAATGCTGCACAAACATAAAAGATAATAAGAAAATTAAATTATCGATCTTATTATCACCATTGAATTGCGCATATAATATTTATGACAACGTTATAAAAAGACGATATATTAAAGTCACACATTATACTTTAAGTGGAAAATGTAGAGTTGTGTATATGTATAATAGGATATGGACGTGAAATTAAAACTACGTTACGAGCTCTATACGAGCTGTACACTAGTCTTACGATATCGATCCGATAACGTTCCGCTTAAACGAGTCTTTAGAATAGCCTTTACAAACGCGACGGCATCCTTGTAATACGTATTAATACGGCTTATGAATGAACCCGATTATGTCATCCTCAGACCCATCGAAAAAAAAAAAAGAGTACTCGAAATATTCTTGTATCAATTTCGCCAGCTGTTCATTAACGATTATCGCGGAGAGGAAAGGAAAGAATACGCGAATAGCCCGGAATCACTTTATCGCGTGTGTACATGCCCCAATTCTTCTAAGCGATAATTAATTATATTAATTACCTGTCGCTCATCTTGAAGCAAAGTAAAGAATTTCGCTGACACTTCGCTGTTTAACTGTCTCTCTCTAGCAAAAAAAATACTTCCATCCCTTTACCACGCGTATACAAATGATCATAATTGAGTTCCTTTTTAAATATCTGTTATTTTTATGAATGTAATAAAATTGCTCTTCATATAGTTATTTTATTGTACATTAAGCAACGCAAAGTAATTTTGCTCAAAGACGTTTTTTTTTTTAATATATTTAGTTCTAAGAGAATAATGTTGTAAAATTATGTAACTGCAACTCATAATTTATTCTTTAAAATAATGTTCGTTATCCTTCTTATCCTTCTTATCCTTCGTTATCACGAGCACTAATACAAGATAATCTTGCTAAAAAAATTCTCTCATTACTTATTTCTAGAAAATATTTTTACAAATATATGTGCGGAAAGATAAGATAAACAAGTTTCTAATTAAATAAATTCACTTATGCTTGCATAGACTTTCTAAACAATTAACTAATGTATGTATGACGAAAATAAATTCTGCAGTGCATCACAGCTGCGATATGTCAAAAAGTGTTCGCCTAAACGTGAACGCAAATCAATTGAAATGGAAGGTAAATTAGCTCAATCTCGTTCTACATTTTCTTATAATGAATGTCGAACTTGACCCAGACCGTGACTTTATCCCGGACAACTTTTTTACATTTAAAATTTAAAATACTTTATCTCTTACCGCAAATAATATTCAAATATATTCATCAATAGAAAAATGAAAAAAAAAAAAAGATGTAATAAAATTTCCAAGTTAAAAGAAAAAATTCATTCCAAATTGGACAGGCAATCCACAGATTGAAGTAGGAGTGTTCTACATACACAAAGAAAGGAATAGGTACGCAAAAGGCGAATCTCTCTCACAGATCGTTTTCCGTAGCTTCCTGCCAAACGCGGTTTAATTACGAGCGCACGGTATAGTAACGAGATGACGAACGTACCATTGCGTGCTGCGATCGAGACGGCGGCGGCCGGAAATTTGGGTCCTTTCATTCGTGCGGGTGCGTGCCTCGCTCTAACGCTTTTGACGGACGGGTTCACCGTCTATTTCTGTGTTTCTCGGAGAAGATGCTATAGTTGTTATCGCGCCGCGCATGGCGTTGGTACTGGTTGGCCGCCGGTGAATAATGCATCGGATCGTCATATGTACGCATATATCGGTGAGGCGTGTGTGCTCTCGTGTATACGTAAAGGGAAGGAGGGAATAGGTAGGTGTTCAATATATGTGCCTCTCCACTACGCAAAGCGTATAACGTGTGTGTTTGTATATACGCGCGGTGTTATACTCCATGCGGTAATATTACCGCCCGGTGTCCCTGAATATCGATTCACTGGCATATCAGTAAATGTATGCACCGTCTCTCTTTTTTACAATCCGACATTCTCATAATCGCCTTAATCATTTCCTCGATGAACCTTGCGCATTGTGATCAGCGCGAGCACCACGATTCGATCCGTTCGCGAGTGTTCCTCGTAACGATATTTATGCGAATTGAATGTAAGGCTATATATAGGCTGCGCAAATATATATGATCTGCACAAAATATAGAATTTCGATCCGTATTGAATAATCTTATGACGCAACTTTTTATTTCTTTTTGTTGTATCGTTTTTCGCAATACAACATAAACACGCATCTCATAATTGTCACAATCATTTGCTCGCTCGACTTTACGCGTTACGTTAAATTTTAAACTGAAAACTCGTTAATTTTAGAACTCAGAAATATCTTGTTGAAAATCTTTTTTTTTAATCCTTTTTTTTTCAGTACTTCGGCAAAATCGTTCGTGCGGTTTATCGCGAATTTTTAACTTTTACCTCTCTCGCGGTTTCCACCAGAAAAATCTCGCTATTCACGCTATAGTCCCGCGATCGTGAAACTACAAGAGGGCTTGCGTAATATCATGTTTCAGGTATAGCCAACGCTTATACAGACGTTTATATAGTGAGTGATTCACTCAAGTCACTCCATGCAGTATTACCGGGATCTGTATATCCCGAAACGCTTCTGTATCTGTACCCGAGAATTCAGGCAAACTCGACCGCGATAAAACATTATCGTACTCGACCGGAGATCAGAAACATATGATATGTTGACTGTACACTTAACAAAATAACCGTAACGATACAGTAAGATTAAAATGAATTTTGCGACGAGATATGGTCGCAAGCACGTTTTCCACAATCAATTAGGACTTGTTCCATTTATTACGCGCTAAAAATATATCGATAAGCATCGTCGCGTAAAACTGTAAAACATTTATTACTTCATTTAGGAATAATTTATATTTATATTACACAGAAAGAACAATTTTGCTGAAAGGTCAAAAAATTTGGATCTGAAAATAATTTTGTTAGAAACTCAAAAATAACAAGCATTGCTGTAAAACGTTTTGACTCTAGAAATCATTTTGACTTTTCAACAAAATTATTTTGATGCTTCGACAAGAATTATTTTCAGCTCTGTATAATCTAGCAAAATTTTTAGACTTTCCAGCAATATCGGTCTTTTCGTGTATATTTAGAAATAAGTTCCTTATTTTAAACAGCGCATCAATTTTATACCTTAAAAATTGCAAAATTATTCACACGGCGAAATTACCATAAATTATTTCTTTTCTTCTCTCCAAGTCTAAAGAAACTGTTCGCATCCTAAAAAAAAAAAAAGAAAAATGCGGACAAGGATACGCGTGTTCTAACAATGCTGCCGGCACTCTCGGTATTGTCGTCGAGCACTTTGCTCGTCGTTTACCGCATCCGACCGCGTGCTATTGTGAAAAATCGTTACACGTTTTCGGTACAAGATGCTGCCGATGTTTCGTGCTTGCGTATATGCGCGCGCATACGTAAGTATATAATACCGGGTAAAAACGAGATTGCACGTCGCGGTATTCGCGTATTCGAAAATAATGCACAAGATCCACCTGCGAACGGAGAACGTCTTATTTTCTAATGCGCTTCTCAACACCGCGAATCGCACGAGAATTTTTTTTCTCGCACTTCCGAGACCTTAAACCGCATAGCGGAATCGCGATATCTCGCCCGACGATCATCGGCCTTTTTCCTTTCTCTCTCTCTCTCTCTCTCTCTGCGGATTATTTATTCTCCGTTCCGCCTAGACGAGGGTAAAAATACCGTGTGTAAAAATCATTATCACACGCCACCGCCCACCCGTCACGCTAACCGAAAGTTCTCGGGCATAATGGCATTCCTGACGGCTCGCTTCCACAGACGTCGCTCGTTTATCAGGATATCGGCCACGTGCGATTGCCGGATAACGAATAAAAATTTAATTTTCTGAGTCATGCATCGCATTATGTAACAGATATACAACAAATACTGCATGTAAAGCCATAATGTTTTATTAGTACTATATACTATACTATATTCGGAATAATTTCGTCTAGAAATATTTAATATTACAATATTTAAAAAATGGAATTAGATATCTTCAGAACATATTCTGTTCACTAACAACGATCATTGTGAATAATAAAATATTTAATTATATAATTATATATAATTATAGTTAAGTGAATCAAAATTCTGATCGATATTAATTTATAATTAGTTACTTAACAAAGAAGAAGCTATAATAAATAAGAGTTTAAGAGGCAGTACCTTGAATCTAAGAAAATATAAGTCGGAATTTCATAAAATATTCCGAAGGAAGAGTATTAGCGGGCTCTTAAAGAATAGAAGCAATCGAAGTCAATCGAAGTGATCAAACTTAAGTGAAGTAAATCAAAGTAATCGCAGTTAAAGATTAACACTGGGGCAATCGCAGTTATCTCGGCATAGAAATCTCGTAGGAAACGACCGACCGCGGCAACGCGGCCGCTCATTGCAAAACCCGTATCGTGTCTTCTTTTTTTCCCTCCCGACCGGCGGCGCGCCCAGAGATCGACGCAAACAAATAATTAGTTTCTCGGCCGCCTCATCGTCGCATGGGGACCGGAAACTGCGTACGATGCGGTTAACGGCAGGACGAGATTGCGGTATTAGCGATACCGGGCGAGAAAACGGCCGGCCGGCCGACGGGACCGAAACGAGCAAAATGTCCATCCGCTCCATCGTTGGTGCACCGCAACGCTTTCCGGCTTTTCGCATAGCTTATACGATTCCCGGAAAGAGCGGGAATCTCTGCCTTCGCGTCGTTGCGTATCACCCGAGAGAATGCATGCAAATCGAAAAGCGCGCAAGGCCGGATAGTCCGACCGTGAAAAACTACGCGGGCAGCAAAAAAAAAAAAGAATAATCCGTGACGAGCGAGACCTGTTCTAGAGTGCGCAATGCGCCGTGTAATTATACGCGGTGATGTAACCGCGGAGTATCGTCGACTTGTAACATCGATCTCTATTGCGTATCGTTATGCACGTACGAAGGAATAATTGCCAGCATCGTAATTGATTATGCATACCCTCGGGATACAGAGACGTTCGCTTCCTTGCAGAGGAAAAAAACTTGCAGAGGAAGGAAAAAAAAGGTGCAAAATAAACAAGGTGTAATAAGATTAAATAATTTTTAACTCACACATACGTGACGTTGCAATTGCGACGTTACATCGATATCGAAACGGTATCGGCGCGGCGAAATATAGCGTAGCGTAGCGTGGAATAATTTTTAGAATCTATTAATAAGGGAAGCGGTTTATTCACCGCGGCACATAGAATCAGGATGTTGGATAACGATGCGACACAATGCAGAGCTACGTATAAAGCGTTCGCCAACAGGCGCATTCTATACAGACTTTTCCTTACGGGAACCGAAATAATATTTTATCGAATTTCATTGTGAATATTTTATTTCTCATAATTTTTAAATTTTTCAACATTGAATATTTTTACAGTTAAATTTTCCACTGCATATTTTATTCTTCGTTCTTTAATATATTTTTTTAAGCTTATAAATACATATTTTATATTTTATTCTTTGTATTTCAATAAATTTTGCTGAAGAATGAGCTGGAAAATATTGGTTTTTTTCTTTACTTTTCTATCGTTTTTTCAAAAGCTTAATTCCTCGAAAATTCGTTTCATTAAACGTTTTATTATTTTAACTTAATTCTTGGTTTTGACGTTTATGCTGGGAAAAAGAATTTTAAGTTCCACAAGAAACGCCTTGTTTATCAAGTACGCTTATTATCGTATATATCCCTAAATAAATACCATTTATATTCGAGTAGGGTAAGGAGTTTCTAATTTAAATACGGTGTTGAAAGAAGCGTTAATGAAGGTGGCTATATCGTAAAGTGCTAATGAATGTTAACGATTCAATTCTCATCCACATGCCGTTCATTAACATTTCGTTTAATTCTCTTACGATGAAGTTTTTAAGCGGTCAAAATAATTTTAGAAGCTGCAAAGTATACACGCACGATATATACTGCCATTCTTTTGGTCCGACAAGATAAATTATGCATCGTCTTATGTAAATGTATATGTTGATATTTACTTGTCTCCGCGAGTGACGATTATCCGCGTTAGATTTTTTTTCAACATTACAAATCGACGTTAATCGAGCGCGTACGAAGAGTTACGCAATAAATTTTAGTCTCGCCGCTACTCCGCCTCTCTTCACCTATTCGCCATCGAATATGAATCTAAAAATATTAACAGGCGCGCACTTCGCTCGATCTCGTTGAGATAAACGTGTTCAAGCAGGTTTCTATTTGTTGACGAAGACTTCAATCTTGTTCCGCGAAGTAGCAATTAATTTCTTGCCGCCGTTTACCGTAATGTATCCAGAAGGAATTTTCAGTCGTGAAGAGAAATATTCTAGAACATTTTCTTCCGCGAGATTTTTCGAGACTATATCGCTTAATTCAAGAATTTGTCTGTCAATTGGTCTAATTTCCTGAATATTCATTCGGCGTTTTTGACCGATTTGGAATCGCTTTTCTCAATTCAGCGTCGTCACGATTGATGACAAAATTCCAAAAGCCACGAATCTTTCCTACAGTTAACGACAATTTGTATTAGGAGTGACTTTCATCTAACTTCAATTACAAATGTAACGATATTACACGTCTTAATAAAAGTATTCTTTTCTTCTCAAGATTACTTGAACGTTGAATCTAAGAAGTCATGTTTAACAAACGCATGTTCAATAAATCGATATTTTCTGATGATAACTTGCTTTCCACCTTCAGGTAGAAACTAAAGCAAGAATATCTTAAAAAAACCTTGAGTGCTTTCTGCTCTTCTTGACATTTTTCCTTAGGGTAAAGAGCTTAGGGCAAAGGTTACTTTCAGGTAAGTTTAAGTATGTTTCAAGATAAAGCCATATTATCTTGAAATATGTTCTGAGTTCATAAATAAAATTACTATATAAACAAACAAATATGTGCCAATAAAAATTTCATTGAAAATAAATTCCTTTTGAAATTCAACAAATTTAATATTTTGTCCTCTACGTACCTACTTATAAAATTTAATATCAGAAAAGTTAAAAAGTAACTACTTCTTCAAAGTGATATAAATTGTACGAATTGGGACGTCCTCATATATCAAAAAATTAATGAATATAAATATCTCCCTGCTGAATCATTCGGTAACTTTATCGTAAGTAAACTTTAAACTCTTCCTACAGTTCTCTCTCTCTCTCTCTCTCTCTCTCTCTTTCTCTCTCTCTCTCTCTTTCTCTCAATTATGTGCCGGAAAAGATGCGAGAGATATCAAGAGTTAAATTTAAACGACGCCAATGAAATTCGAGTCCATCAAGTCGATATTCGTCGGTTCGCGAATCGCGAATGTTCGTACGATCGCGTGAGAACGCGATCCTCTTGCCAGAAATGAAAAAGGAAACGGTATAATTCCAGTAAGTCCATTTTTTTTTTCGAGAGCAACAGATATACCTAGAGAGACGGCCTCACGTCGGCTGTCACGTCTCGGCTTTCACGGGCGTAGTTTCTCGCGTGTCCGTGCCACTGAAATCCGAGCTCGACCGAAACTATACCGGTTTCAATCTCTTCCCTTCCTCCGCCTCCTCTTCCTCGTGTGTATGTGTGTGTATGTGTGTTTGTTACGAACACCCTCCTTATCAGCGTTAGAGCAATATCGATCGTCCGCGCCGTACCGGAGCGTAACACCCGCGCGGCACGCTGCACACAATGCGGCGCGGACGGACCCCCGCTCGCGATCCGCTCGCTCTCCTCGTGCGACAGGAGATACACACTCGCGATGCACCGCAAAGTATTTGTGCGGTAAGATCGACTCTTCCGTCTTCTGTATACACCGATTGACCTACAGAAACAGACCGATCGAACGAGCCGACGTATCGCTTGTCAAAACTTACATTCGGCGCATGTCGACCACCCCCGTCGTCGTCGATACGCGGTCGTCGATAAGCCGAGAGATCTGAGTGTTAGCCGCTATTAATGCTAAACGGCGTGTAACGATATTCCGTCGGGCTGCCGTCCGTTGGCGCGACACGTGACACGACAACAATCGCGTTCAATGCCACCATCGACCGAGAGAGTCACACGGTCGCGTTCAAAGGTCCGCGTTTAGCTATGCCGCGGTCTTATAGAGCAAACAATTCGTCTGCCTGTCTCAGACTCGGAGAGACGCGACGGAGAGCACGCTGATGCGATTGTCGCGTTCGGTGCTGTCATCGGCTCGAAACTCGACGTGTGATGTGAGCCCGTATCCAGCCGAGAGCGCGATGTAATCGCGCGCGATTCCGCTTCACTCCCGTAATGCGAACAAACGCAACGATCTCGGCACTCGGCATTCTGTTATCAGCTGAGAGAGCACGTTTGTCGATCAGATCGCGCGGTGTATAATTGTCTGACACGCTTTTGCTTCTAATAGAATCGCGTTCGCGGTGTCGTCATCGGCCGAGGGTCGCACGAACCGCGCGCCATCAGAAACCCGTAATTACGTCCCGCAATTTACAGCGTTAAACACAATTCAGCTGTTAAATCCTGAGATTTATTTTTGCGACACGCAAACACGACTGTCCCACTCGCAGCGTAACCGGCCGTCGAGACTCGCTGCACGGACACGACGACGATTTAAAGAACCCACGATTAGCGATTGTGCAATTCGCGCCTCCGAAACTTATTTGCGGCACGTAACATAAAAATACGTAGCATAACGATTGTCGTCGCGTTCAGCGCCCAACAACACAATTTCGTTTCTCCGAATCTGACAATGAGATTTATTTGCAGCACGCAACGCATAAAAATTACACTCGTTGCCGCTATCGGCCGACGCTCGTTACCGGCCTGCATTCAGAAACTTATATTCGCCCTACTTTTAGTCTTAAATATATTCCGATACATCGATTCCGACACTCGAGACACGCTTCTGTGAATAAACTTTTTGTATTGGAAACCAATCTAATCCCTTTTTTTTCTTTAATTCCCCTCAAAGCCTTTAATCTACGTCTGTTTTTAAATACCGCAGAGATGCAATAATAATTGTACCGACCACGTTTGAAGTGGCAGTGGGTACGACTGGAATACGGATATTGATATTACATACATGGAAAGGGATTGTGACGCTCGAAATGTTGTCTCCCATGGGGAGTATCAAGGAAAAACATTGCGAACCGGGACAACGCGTCGGGACAAGAATACCCGCCGGACGGAAGCGGAATGGAAGAAGCCAAGAGAGCAACGTGTGTACGAATCGTCGGCGAATCGATCGACAGTAGGACGCGGCCAACGTTAGGAATTAGGGATTCCGAAGGGATTACGATTGTGTACTCACATGTCGTATGATGAGAGCCGTTCCGGGCGCAGCTTCCGGGGAGGCTCCGTTCCGGTGGCGATGGGAGCAAGAGCCGATGACAAGGGACGTCGTCGTCGTCGTCGTCGTCGTCGTTTCGACCACATGCACGCACCATGCACGCATTCACGGAGCGTGGCGTCGGAGATACTGACTCAATCGGCGAAGGCGAGGAGATCCACGCGCGTGTGCTTGCGCGTTCCGCACGGCCGTCACTCGCGTCACGCGGCACGCGAGCCACAGCCGCGCGCGTGCGAATCCCTCGAAGCGCGCCCGCAAAGCGTGAACCCACCCTCGACAACTGGCGGCTCTCCCTCCGGTCGTGCGCTCGCGCGCGCGCGCGCGAGGTGGGGAAACGACGCTCCCGACGTGCGTTCTCCTCTCCCCGTCGACCGAGCGTCGCGTCGCGTCGCGTCGCGTCGCGCTCGGCGAAAATAGCCGGACAACGTGCGAGACACTCGACCAGACACGTACGCCAGCGCTCCTGTAAACGTTTATTACACGCGCGAGAGTCGCCCATCTTGAGAGTTTAGGTGGTTTAGGGGTTGCAGTGGCGGTTACGCACCGAGTCAAGTGCGGAGGGTGCTGTCGAGGGTGCCTAAAGGCGCTAACTGATCAAATTTAGTAGCGCCGACTACGGAATACGATGCCTCTTAATTTATCAGGGGTTTCTTGTTTACTAGCTAATGGACTAAGCGTTGGGTATAGGTATATATACCTTTGAGGGGAAAAGACAGACGTTCCGCATATAAAAAGGGAGGAAAAGATAATGACTATGGATTTTTCTCGAGACCCGTAACGGAGATTGATTGGGTCGAGATTAACGATGTTGAAAATATATAAGCTCCTCTAACGCATCGCTTTAATGTACTTTTTGCCGCCGCGTATTAATCAATGTTAATGTTAGCATATTTGGTATATATCTGTGCATTAGTAACACGCAGTAATTTACCTTATTAATTTAATGTTATTTTGAAACAGATCGTAAGTCAAATAAATTAAAAGTAAAAGTATTCCAAACCCCTGTTTGTTTTACTTTTCTTGTATTTCCTCCATATTTTCATTAACAGTAAACTATGAACAATGAACGTTACTGTTAGTATTATATTACAATATTATTAGTATTGTTAAATCCTTTTATTATATACGTCATTTATTATTTGTATTATTAAACACTGTAGTCATTTTCTATTGTAAAACTCAATAATTTTCTTAAAGAAATATGGACAAAAAAATTAGCTTTCTCTATCGCGCTCCACATTTACTTCATTATCAAATACTTGTATGAATTGCTGTGCTATTTTTATTATTCCTATTCTTCTTAAATTAAATAATTTCCACTTTTTCTCAAATTTTTTATAAAAATCGCAAAAATATATGATATGATATCAATACGATATGCAAATGTCAGTAAGTAATCACACTGCATTAAATTCGGGAGAAATTCGCTAAGCCCAAATGACTGTAATATTTTTTTTCTTTTCATTAAAGGAAAGTACAGACGAGGTCTAGTCATTTTGTAACAACGCGTTTAGATCGCCATGCTGCCATCTAGGAAGCCTGTGTCGCGTCGTGAAATGAAATCGATATTTTACCATCATCAGAAGGAATTAAATAAATTTTTGCTGGGCTCTCTATAAAATTGAAATTTTTAAGAAATATTGTCAAGAGATTTTAGCTTGTAATAAATTCTGTATATCGTCTTGTTCTTTCACGCGATTATTGAAATTTAATTGTTAACAGCCGCCTTAGCGTATAAATATAACGATACTTTCAACACAACCTGATAAAATAGATTGCATGCTAGCGTGGGATATTTTTAACTATATATTGATTCAAGCTGCGCTACCAGCGAAGAATAAACATCTGACTCAGCTAGTAATTTATCATAGAAGACTCCTCACGTCGAGCTGTTACTTGCCGAGCAAATCGCATTAAGTAGTGCGTTAGAGTCTTTACCCACAGTCTTCAACCACAAGTCGAATAGATTTAATAATGCTATCGAATTGTACGATTTGTAGATTAAATACTTTATTTTGTTCTTTCTTTTAAGAAATAATAAATGCACTACCGTTGCGAATATTCAGGATCAATGAAATTAGTTTTAAAGCGCACCAAAATTGATTTTTAGCAATTTTAAAAATTAAAAAAGGATTATCAAAAAATTAAGATCAAAGAAACGCAGTTGGAAATGTAATACAAAAATGATTGCATTGAGATCGATTATTAACACTAATAAAAAAAGATTGCGACAACATTGAGTCTTCTTCCATTCTTCGCAGCATCGCATAATACTTGTTACATTCAGATATTCTGTCAACTTGAATGTTGTCGTAAATATAATAAAAATTATTCTTTCTTATTAATAATCTTATTAATATCTTATAATCATGTATTTCTTTAACATAAATATTTCTTTAACTCGGTGATAAGAACGTTCGCTGCCCAGTTACTTAAAAACAACTGAACCATTGCAATTAATAGTTGTGTTGTATATAAATAAAAAGGAAAAAATAATGAAAAGATGAGAATAATATCCCTATACAAAATGAAATTAAGCGCACGAAAGCTCTCGGCGGTTCAAGCACACCGCGACAGTCCTTTTTAATTCCACGCGAGAAAAGAAAGAGTACAGGAGAGACCTATGTTTAGCGTAACCTCTTATACCCCGTCTATCCGGGCAGAATTGTACGCTGCATCGTCACGCCACTTGCAACTTCAATCTTAACTTCAAGACAAACGTCAATTATTCATTCGTCGTGCCCGCTCGCCGATACTTCTGCCGGCAGAAGTTCGCCAGCAAATTCGCGGAGGACGCTTTCCGGCCGAGGGAGATAATCAATTATTTCAGAAATAATCGCGGGGAACACGCGCTATTACGTGTGCCCCCTGGCACGCTCGAGACGTGCGCAGGTGCAAATTCCACAGGGGATCCTCGCGAATTCTATAGGCGATATCCGCCGATGCTCGCGATTTCCGAGCGGTAGACGGGCGCGATTCGATCAAGTCGACGCTCTACTGCAGAGAGAGAGATCCGGGTTCTCGTGTCTGTTGCATTTTCATCGGTCCGCGTCATTCGGCGATTCCCAGTTAAAATGGCATCGGACAATAATTCGTTCGCGAGTGTCATTCGCGTGAACGTCGCGCTGCTGAGGCTCTCCGGCGTGGTGTCCTACGAGAACGGGAGGATCCGTCGGTCGAGCTCGCAGAACGTCCTCCTCAGCGCGATCGCGTACGGCTGCCTGCTCGCGTACGCCGGCCTGTACACGTACGAATTCGCGTCGCGTACCGTCTATCTCGACACCTGGACGGAGTCGCTCGCGATGGTGCTCTCCCTCGTGGGCGGACAGGCGCGATTCACGATTCTGCTCCTGTTTCGCGGTAGATTCCAGCGACTACTGGCAATCTGCGAGGAGCTCTGGACGGCGTTGAGCGCGATCGAGAGGAAGCACGTGCGCGACTACGTGAAAACGACGAGACACTTGACTTACTACTACCTATTCTTATGCGCGTTCACGATCTTCTTCTACGCCGTGGCGAGCCTCTTCATGGGGCAGCAGCACGATGACTCGTCGAACGCGACGACGACGAGAACCCTGCCGTACGCCTGTCCGGTGGAGGTCCATCGGTCGCCCTATTACGAAGTAATGTACGTCGCGCAATTGTGCAGCATGATAAGCGTCGGTCTCACCTGCGCCGCTGCGGACACGGTCGGGCCGGTGCTCGTCTTGATCGTTTGCGGCCACTTCAAGGTCCTTAACATGCGAATTTTGTGCCTGAACGATCGCGACCGGGTCTATTCAGATGGGACGCGTTCAACTCCCACGAAGCCGCTCGAGGTAATGCACGAGGAGAACGACATATCGAAAGATCGTGTGAAATCTAATTTCAAAACCTGCGTATACTATCATCAGACGATGCTCCAGTAAGTACAGAGAGAAAGGGGTGATTTTTGTTTTAAAAAATTAATGGCGATTAATTTATTAAATTTTTTGAGTCTGCCAAATGATTAACAAAAGATTTCTCGTTTGCACAAGTGATTTGATTAATCAATAAATCCATGATGTTTGTTCGATTAGACTTTGCAAAGAAGTCGAGAGCCTGACCACCACCATCTTTTTGACGCAAATACTCGGCAGTACGTACAATGTCTCTCTTGTGGGATTTAAATTAGCTGGGGTAAGAGTTGTCCTTTATATGTATATTATCAATTATTTCATCTTGCAATTTTTTGAGATATTATATATTTAAGATAGGCTAAGTTTTCGTAAATCTGCCAATATTACAGGATGATCCTGATAAATTTAAATATACAACACAACTATTAATTGCAATGGTTCAGTTGTTTTTAAGTAACTGGGCGGCGAACGTTCTTATCACCGAGGTATGTTAAAGAAATAAACGATTATAAGATATTAATAAGATTTCAATAATTTTAAAAAATATAAAAAAAGGTTCAATAAAAACTATAAAAAAAATACGCGGATATAAATAAATGAAACAAATAATTCTACAGAATTATTCCTAGACTATACTAATATTACGATTTTCATTCTTAAAAACTAAAGAATAAATAAAATATTTTTTTAAAACCTGAAAAAATTTTACGATCTAATAATCAGTCTTCGACTTGTCATATGTCATTAAAGGTAAGTACAAGAATATAAAAAAACGCATGGTGAACATGTGTTATTGAAACTTAAGAATGAAAAATGTACGTTCCTCTCCGCAGGACATGAATAAGCCGCCTAAAGCACAATAGCCTAATGCTCTTTCGCGTAATCTTTTTAAACATTTTATTAGGTGTCTGTGAAGTCTGCACGGCACATATCTCCCTCTAAAGTACAATATGTCGCCAAATATTACATCATTACAATAGATAGATATAGATCACAAATATGACATCTATCAAGTGATCTCGTTAATTCTAAATTAATTTCATAATTATATAGCGTTTCAAGATAAAATTGCAACAATTAAACATTTTTACACAATTCTGAATTCCTATAGCACGATATTTCACGGAAAGATGTCCTGCAATTTTCGATACTTCTGACGATAGTTCTGGCTTATTCTAGCCAGAATTATCACCAGAAGTATCGAAAATTGTTAGCAGAACATCTTTTTGTCGCTTTAACGTGACGTTAGTACGTCATTATATAATTTTTATATTTTTGTTATATTAAAAATATTAAAATTTAATATATAAAATTTTTTATATTAAAAATTTTATATATTAAAAACAGTTTTTAATGTTTATCAGGAATGGTAGAGGTGTTGAAAGTGCTACTGGAACTATCATTGTTTTTTAAAAATGAACAAAATGTTTTGCTAACTTCACAGATACTTATTAGTTTCTTACTTATATTTATCTTGCGGCTTACGATACCTAGCGCTACTGGATTATGTTTCAGAGCCAGGACGTAGCGAGAGCGATATACCTCACGCCGTGGTATCGTTTCCCGTATCAACTAAAAAGATCTCTAAATATTATCACAATGAGATCTCAGAGACCAGCGCAGCTGACCGCCGGTCACATCATACCGTTATCCTTGCAAACATTCGCATCTGTACGTACGTCCGTTATAGACAAAAAAAAACACGATAAAATATGATCTTCTGTTAAGTAATCCTATTCTATTAAGTAATCATTTCGCGAGCGATAAGACGTCGTGTTTTAGATGGTGTCATCCGCGGCATCCTTTTTCACCATGATACGCAGTATGAATTAACAACTTTATCGAAGATCACAGAATGAAGTACGTACATTTTTATGCATCGAATAGAACCTGTGCGATTGTTAGCGTTTACGATCGTAAATGTGCTTCGAATGAGTATAAAAAAAGTAATATAAATGAGCAAAAAAAAGTTAATGTATATACATATAATGTATATGTCAATAAATCTTAATATATAATCTTCACCCCTTCACAGTATTTGTGACAGTGATTATTTACAGTGGACTGAGCTGACAATGGGAGAAGAAAAAGAGTACATTAAGATCTGATTACTATTGATACACTTAATTAGCGTTTACTAATTCCCATATTTAAGTATGCGCAATTAGAGAAAAGTATAAGACACAGAAAGCAGATGGAGGGCTCGTTAGACACGACGGGATTTTTTTGCGGATTAACTTTGGAGACCCCTCACGGTCTGTTCTATCCGCGGCGCGTTGACAACGGAAGATTTAGCTGCGGGGACACTCAACAGCTCTGCTGCGATTGCTTAAAGTAAGGAGGCAGGCGTTAACCTTCGTAGAAACTAATCCGAGGAAAATGTCGGCGAGAGAAAGGCTTTCGATGTAACTCTTGGCTTAAGCCGAGCATCGATCATTTTTTTTCCCCGTTGCCGTACTGCAACCCTCGGCTCGCACGTGTCGAGAGTTACCGTGCCGGCATCACGAGAAATACGGTTAACAGAGCGCTGTCCATCTCGCGCGAGTGGATCGAGGGCAGTCCGTGTGGGATATGCGTGAATTACAAGATCAAGCCCGAAGAGAGAGTAATAGAAAAAAGTCCAAATGAAGCTTCAGAACTAATGAAAGAGGACAATTAACAAGAGAGGCTAAAACTCTGTGTCTGAAAAAAAATGCAAAATTATAACAAATTATATCGCACTTATCTGCGTATATTTCTGACACGAAAATAAGATGCGTATAATATATTGAGAATAGACGATGATGTAAACACAAGAAAATCCGAAAGACAGCTTGAAGATATAGCTTCATTTTAGCCGAAAAATCAGTGAGATTTGCTCTTTTTATTGTCTTTACGTTTTCGAATAATATATACATATATCGCGAGATATTAATATTCCGCCAGTAAAAAGAAGTCCTCAGCGATGACGTTTGCGGACTGGGAAGAAGAGAAAGACGTGATAGTCGATAGCGAGGGCAATAGAATTTCTTCAATATCGCTGCACTAACGAGCGGCCGTAGCAACTTCTCGCAGAAACGTGGTTTCTTTACTTTTCGGCCAATAAGCGCCGCCTCGCCACGGAGACGCTTTGCGTCTTTCGCTCGAGGAATATTTACGCAATAAGGATGGTTTCGCACGCATCGATTATAATTAACACGTGTTCGCGTAAGAAAAGCTCCAAATAAGAAATATTCAATTTAATGTTCTTCATGTTCGTATTTATCTTTCTATTTCGCTGCATTTCTATGTTGCACATTATTTCGTCACGACATTGTAAGATAAGTATCTACCAAATTCTAAGAACGTTCGTATACCATAAAGGTGTATTCTTAAATACATTAAATGTTCGCGTAATCTGGGATGAATTCATAGCGTTTAGCCCTTCTGTCAAAGCCTAATTTTTCACTTTTTCATAAATGCACTAGATATCCAGGTATTCACTGTACATTTTAAAATATCGTGCAAAAATATCCATTGTAGCAGTTGCGAATTCTTTTTTATTGTATTTTAAACATTATAGTAATTGTTAATTCTTTTTCCCCTTCTCTCTCTCTCTCTCTCCTGAATTTTAAAGAATCTCCAAATAATAGAAATCTTCATATATGCGTCTTTAAGAATGATTAAATATTATGGTGTTTACGTTAAACGACCGGAGAGAGTCCATTTATATTATTAGCGTTAAGCGTGTACGAATACGGACTTGGAGGTAGTTCGAATTGTCGTTTACGGAATCTATGAAAATTTGAGATGGCGAAAGATGGGATAAGAGCTCTCGAGGGAATGGGCAGCGCACGGATTGAATTTAAGAAAACGAAGAAACGGGGGAGGAAAAAAGAGAAACGTGCGAAATGATGCGGTAGATAAACGACAGGCTCGTAGATTCGCCGTGGGATATCGCGCGAGCTCATTGCCTTTCATGAGAACGGCGAGAGTGTTTCCAAGACCGATGGTCAATTCCGGATCCCATCCAATTCTTTTTCGTAAAGTGCGCAACCCGCCGAACGCGAATTATAAATAAAGATGAAGAACACAGCGGCACATAAACCGACTCTGGAGGGATGCTGGTTTCTTAATTCTCATCCGAGCAGCATATATATACGGCGTGTCAATCAAGAATTTCGGGTATATTAGCGACTATTCGCTGAAAACTATATATAGATCGCGAATCACGTCTGCATAGAACGAGATTTCGCAAAAGAAGTATATATCGTCCACGCCGAGTGCCCTGGCGTTAAACGCGATTAAAGTCTCAATTCAAGTCGCGACATCCCCCACGCCGCGCTTGGAGGAGCGCCCTTTCGAAAGTCTTTCGCATCATCCCCTCCGCGATGATCGGTACGCCTCCCCGTGGAAAAAAACCGGAGATCGCTTACGTTTTGCGCGAATTGAATTAACCTTACGAGACCGCGTTTCCCGGAACGTTTGCTGCCGTATTAATTATAGCGGTGCAGGGTTGAGAGCAGCATCTGCGGGTGACGGCGTCGTCTCGTACGAGAAGGCGACGGGCAAAGAGATAGGGCGCCGCGGGGGCGAGAGGGGGGGGTTAGAGAGAGAGAGAGAGAGAGAGAGAGAGAGAAAGAGAGAGAGAGAGAGAGACGTTCCGGAGGGGTAAGGAAAGCCCGGGAACCCCTCGATGCCGTGGCGAACAATAAAGAAATTCCACGATTTTCAGCGGGACGATACCGACCGCGAGAGCGCGCGTTGTCATCTTCGCATACCACCATCGTTCGTTCGTTCAACGTTGAACGAAGCGCGGGTTCTTCGAGTTAATGAAATCCATCGACGCCACGTCGAGCTATATGCCGCGGCGAATCGACATCATCTCGCGCGTGGGAAGCTATCCGTTATCGCCAGAAAAAATTAAAAATTGCGATCCGACGCGCGCGCGCGCGCGCGCTTGTCCATCCCTCTTTCTGCTCCCTGCTCTCGATCTGTCGAGAGCAAATCGAATTTGCTTTTCATCGGAATTCGACTTTTCTCCCTTCGGATTAAATCGCGCAATATGAAATTAACTGTCGCTCGAGAATTTTGTGAATTTGTAATTCGCTCGATTACTTTTCGATGCGTTATCTGCAGCTTACGTTATATACTTAATCCGTTATTTTTAATAATAATTTCACGTTTCATTATTTCGTAAAGATAATTATCTTGCTTGTAGTCATCAAAATGAACCCGTCTCATAATTTGAGAAAAGTGTAAGTCTTACCGCGCTCGAAGCTCCAATTCTCAATCACACATCGTGCCTATACCGATCGTGTGTATTGCGCTTGATTTTGTTCATCCGAGCACCGCGACCGACAGATAGGGGGACGTGACGGAGGACTAATGATTTTGCGGGATGACGTGATTGAAGTCATTGACTTGGTTAAAGCTTCTCGCGAATTAGCACGTGCTGCGAGTGCGAGATCGATTGCCAGTTGCCACGAGCAACGTCGCTCGATATATAGGCAAGCCATTTCGAAAAAAAATCGCAGCGGGCGGAAGCGACGCGAGCCAAACGGGCGCCTATATAACGCCCTTCCGACATACGTAACCATGTATATTTTTGTACAATAATGTCGTCTCCCGAGGAGTACGACGGCGATGTTTCTTACGAGGCGTGGCGGCGCGCACAGGTCCTTATTGTACTTTACAACGTCCCATCTCCACGCGACGTTTGACATAAGCCCCGACGAATCTATTTGCCGCAGCGCAAAATGGCGGAATCGGATTCGCGGGCGAGACGCAGGTAGAGAGCTGGTTTCCTCGAAACGGACGAGACGTTCGAACGGATGGAAACCACCCCGCAGCCGCTGCCTCGTCCCGAAGATTAAATTCGCGACTACCGACGAGAGACTGCAGGCGTCGATCTTTCGTGCGACGAAGACGTCGCGTCGTCGGGGCGAGAAGGCCGGGTCCGGGAATCGTAACTCGCGACGTCCCCGCGCATTTGCAGGTAGTGTCGACTCATTGAATTCTATTCATCGAGCACCCGAGTTGCGCATCATTCAATTACGCGTTTTCTCAGTCCCCGCTCTCTATACAGCCTAGAGGGAAGAGAGACCCCGAGACTTTCGCAGCGCCTCTCCATTTCCGTACAATGCATTATTTGGCACCTATTGTGCTCGGCAACGCTCGCGCATTTGCCGTGCCACTTATCGAGGATTATCGATAATTTGACGCGTGCCTTATAACAAATAGATTAAATCAAAAGGTGTCGGCGGATGTGTTAGAAAAATGCGAAATTAAATTCCTATAACCTGCCAAGTTCAAGAGACAATTAAATTCCCTTTCAATTCGTATATTTCTGCGTGTCACGTGCGCCGCAGATTTTGTGCCAAATATCTTGTACGTGAATATTAAGATATAATAGTAGAACGATAATATAATTTTGTTATTCTGTTACACATATACAGGTATCACCAAATGATAGTTGATTATGAGATTCAGTCACAAGATTTATTCGAAACGACGAAAAAATGGCGTGAAATATGGCTCGATTATCTTACCTGGGTATCCAAAAAAATACGGAATTGCGAGCTTTTTACGGCTGACAGAATAATGTGAGTTTACGAGTAAGGGACGTCGTCGTTTACTCCTCGCCGTCGTTCGTCCTTTTGTGAAAAATTGGATCGCAATAACGGAGCTTTATTAAAATAAATTACAAATCAAGTTGATTATCAAGATTGTCAAGTCAATAAACCCCAAGGTGGAACAAATTCCTAGGGGGCTTTAATTTTTTCTCATTCGCAAAACATCGATCCTTTTTGGTGTTACAAATCATACGATGTACTTGACAATAAACGCACGTTTCACTCTCTTCCACAGATCCACGAAAATACATTTAAAAAGAGTATCACCTGCGACCTCGTGTGTGCCTACTGCCATGTTATAAAAAAAAAATCGAGACGCGCGATTTTAACGGACGATAAATGATTAAATTATCCGCCTCAATCTAAACGCTAAGATCATTAACTGAGATAATTAGTGAAAATCAACTCTAGAAGTTGACCCAAGGCGATATTAATTCGATCTACTTGGACGGTCTCGTTATTTTCGACGATAATCTCCTATCTCCAGATTCTCTCACTTCGATGTTTAATCACTTATCCATCTCTGTGTGAAACCCTGCGGCTAAAACCGATTAGCGGCGACTCCTTTAGCAACAAGTTGCACCTCGTGTGTTTTCCCCAGGAGTTTCCTAAAATCAACAAGTGAATTCGCTTCCTGCCTGGAATTTCTATATTGCTTTCGCGTTCGACTCCACAGGTGGCAAACTGGCAACGAGAACGACTTTCCAGGAAGCCCTCCACGCGAAGGGGGAGGGGGGGAGGAGGAGGAAGAGTTGGCTCGCGTTTATTTGCCTGCCTTAACAAACGGTAACACTCGCGCGGAGAGAATATCCGTCCCGCGTTTCCTCGTAATCGGCCAGGTACCGGAACTTCGGCCCGCGAATGTCGGAAATAAGTAGATACGGTGCGGTGACGCGACGCGATGACGCGCGAACATATCGGCGCTATCTTTGTTTCTGGAATGCGATAAGGTCCGTTTTAATAAAGAGCCGAAGGAGCGTTGACGACTCATATAGAGAATTCTTCGCGATCTTTGCATTCCTCTGTAGCCTCGAAGTAAATTCCGCACCGGATCGCGCCATTCCCAGGCGGCTAAAGTCCGGGAATCTTGATTACGTTCGTGTTAGGGCTAAAATTACGAAACGATTCGCCTCTTATTCCTTTTTGTAGTCTCTCGAAGGGATTTGCGCTATATTCGGCAATGTCGTGATGTATCTCATGCAGAGGAAACATCGAGGGATCATAAAATTGTGGATAATAAAATTGCGAAACAATTATCAACAAATTTCATTATCGGCTCGACAAAGCCAAATCACAAAAGTAAGTTGTATTAACTTTCGCGTAGAATTATAAATTATTTTAATGGATAAAGACGATTTTATTACACGCCCTGGTATTAACGCCTGTATTAACGCGGAATAAGAAAACAATGAATAGCTGCAGATAGATACTGTCGATTCTGTTAAAGATTGACAGATTTGGGAAGGGGTGGATCGCGAGGGAATGGATGATACAGAGACAATATGGGGGCGTCGACAATCGCCCTCGGTGGAGGGAGGAATGACCAGAGTAACGTCGAAATAGGCCACGCGAAAGAGGAACTCATCCGGCTGCGGAGTGGGGAAGAACAAGAGAAGGAGAAATAACAAACGGAAACGAGAGAGGAGCGCGCAAATAAATTTAGTTATTATTTTAAAAAAAGGGATAGAGAGAGAAAAGGAAAGAGAGAGAGAGAGTAAAAATAAATTATCATGCGTGTCGCGCAAGTGTGTTTGTGTGTGTGTGTGTGCTTTGTATGCGCATGTATGTGCAATGAAGAGAGAGAAATGTATAGTCAAAAGGCAGGTGGTGGTAGCCGTGGATTGAAAGAGAGGGATGGAGAGGACACGGAGGGTGGGCGAGAGGACGCGAAGCGCGAAAGGGGGTGGAAAGCGGGGAACCCAGTGGCCATGCGCCCTGCCGGCGGGCTGTGGGGGCTTCTGGATCTTTTCGAGGATCAAGAAGAGGACGTCGAAGAAGCACGGGAGACGCAGACGGTGGTGGGCAGAGAGAGCGACGGCTCCAGGCCGGCACGAGCGAGGTGAGATGCGCCCTTATCGCCCTTATCGCTCTCAATCGTCCGTGCAGTATCCGTCGGAGTGCCCTGACACTCCTCGCCTCCAGCCGGGTCGCGGCCTCGACGGCTAGCAACGATAGCGGCGATACAGGACCGGAGAACGCTCGCTCCGGCCGAACCGACCGACCGATCTCAGTGAGTATCCCCCCATTCGTAAATATAATTTCAAATGAATAAACGCATGCGGAATGTACACGTAAACGACACGCGATTGATAAACGTGCTACTGAACAGATACGCGTGTTGATGAACTAAGTGATCCATGTGTCAATAATGAGAGAGAGAGAGAGAGAGAGAGAGATGCGACGATAGTACACAATTTCACTTATCCGTCCGTCTATTTATTTCCTCCCCTCGCGAACGCGAACCATCTAAACGCGACGCCGTAGACTTAATCGTAAGAAATACGATGGCTATTTTACGGTCCGTGCCGCGATTTATTGGATGAAGTATCCTCACGCTCGATTCGTATAGCCGTCGGCGCTTTATCACTTAACGTAGCGCGCTAGCAAGCGCGAAAGAGTTATTACTGTAACCCCGCCTTAAACAAACTTCGTGGATATAGGAATGATAATGTTATTTTCAGAGAGTAGATTTAAAACGATTTTTTAAAGACATCTTTTCTTTTGCGACACTAAAAATTTTTTTCGGAAGATAATCCTATTTAATCAGAAACGAATTTACGTTCGTGTTATCTCGTTTATTACATAATGCGGTCTAATTATTTAAAACGGTAGAAGGCGGGGATTTAATTGGTTACATAAACGAGTTATCACGCTGTTAAATGTTTAATTAATAATGCATATTGCGATATTACACGTGTAAGTAATGCGCTCGATATAAGCACTGTACTTAACCGAATTACATTAATTAATACAAATTATTGATTATAATTAATACTCTGTCTGTGTGCGTATGATGTTGCTCCTCGATAATAAACTACACTGTTAAATCTATAGTGTCAAATTTAACCTTACTTAAGTCGCCACTGCTACTACTTAATAAATAGTTATTTTTAACTAAAACAATAAAGTTATTTTTTAATAAAACAATGGAATTTAATCCAAATTTGGGTTAAATTTGAACTGTTTTAAATTATTTAACTTCACGGTTTTAGTTTAAAATAACTATTTATTAAGTAGGAGCAGTGGCGACTTAACTAAGGTTAAATTTGACACTGCTAGATTTAACAGTGTACCGTCACAAGATTTAATTTATTCGCGCGTGCAATCAACGAATTTCTTGCAAGTTAAAGAAATGAAATTTGATTTTCGCCAAACGTCATCGTTTCAAAAAACAAACTTCAACAGCGGAGTATTTTTCCATACCAATATCCCCGCAATATAGAATTCAAGCAATATTATTGGAACAAAGTGTTGTTAAATACAGTGTGCCATGTCCCGTTTAATTAACATCAGCTTTACTTGATATCATCGTTAATTGCTCGATAATTTGAATTTCCAATTTTAAAAAAGACAAGCAATTGATTGTATACCCTCCTTATATCGATGAGACAGGTGTCAGTATCATATCGGGTCGGGTCATCTACAACCACTACATCAACGTGTTAAGCGTGTGTCCGCATGCAGTATTATTCCGCCTGCCAGATACGTTTACGGAAATCTTTAGACTCGTTGACACGTCACCGAGGTGACCGGAAAGCTTCTGGTATCCCTTATAGTCGCATATAACGCCGGATTTCCCGATCGTGATCCGCGGCTCTAGAACAAACGCCCTCATTTCCACGTGTCATCCGCAGTCTCTGGCGCCGATCTTTCTCGGTAGGTTCGCGTCAAAGCACGGTCTCGGATCGAGAGGGGTCGGCGCAAAAGATGAATTGCAGAAGACACGAGTTCTCGCGCAACTTCAGGAAATCCGGGTCGCAAACCCGGAGGTTGCTCTTTCTCTCAACTTTCGTCAGAATATCTCCCTGATACGGCTTTAATCTCGAAGCACAAAATTGAATAGATTAGATCTCTCGTATGACATTTAAAAAAATCATGTTCAACAAACTTATATTGCGAATTCTGCGATTCTGCTAAATAATTAAATTTCTCGAAAGAACGAAAAAAGATCCGGGCAGTCTCAATGGTTGAACATCGTAAACGCGAGATGAGAAGACGATACCACCATCCCTTCGTCTCTCGTTGTCGCCCGGCTTCTGACACAGGAGCAAGCTATAGTGAGAGGGTTGGGACTTCAACCTCGTAAGGTTAATAGAGTGATCGGTAACAAGGTTATAAAGCAATCTGCATAACCCTGTCCAGTACTTTACCCGACCTACGGGTTTCACGTTACTGCGAGCGGTGTCGTAATTACCGTCTCTAATGCGATTACCGGATCGACAAGACCGGCAACCGAGGGACTCTGTGAAATCTTTTTCCGATTTTTAATTGCCTCGTTTTTTTCTTCGTAATTACTTCTCTCTTTCTTGTAAGGCCCGGTAAAATTTTTAGCAAGATACGAAACCAGGTTAACATATATGTCTTCTTGATTTTTTGGGCTCATCCTTTTCGAAACGAATTCTTAAAGTTAGAAGAAAGTGATTTCATTTTTTGTTGAATTATACCTTATTCAATTTAAATCCATAATAAAGCTAAAAAAAGAAGGAATGAAAGAAATTAAAAATACTGTGGTGAATATTATTCGTTTTCCCTCTGTGTCAGCAAAAATAAAAATTTAAAGAAGGTAATGAAGATATAGTGAAGGTAGTTATACCAGAGAAAGAGTTTAGAATAAAATTTTCTATGCAGAATTTCGTCTCCGAAAGAATTAAATGTATATAAGAATTGGATATCTTTTTAGCTCGATTATACTAATTTACCTTAACAGCCTTTACATTTATCTTAATTCATATTAAAATAAAAGTGAAGAATTTAGAATAAAATTTTTTATGCAGAATTTCGTTTCCGAAAGAATTAAATGTAAGAATTGGCGGATATCTTTTTGGCTCGATTATACTAATTTTTTTTCTAATTAGCACCTATGCAAAACGCCAGCGGAATGTATCACGCGTTGTTCGCGATTCGTCTAACCGGCAGAGACGTGTTAAGAAAGAACCGAAAGGATAGCGGTAAATTCATTTACGCACGATCGAAGTCGTAATTTTATTTCCAGGGCTCCGTCTCTGACCTCGTCTCGTCTGAAGTCTCGTTTCACGGCTATCCGAGTTTGATTTACATCCGATCCCTTCCTCGTAGTCGCATTACGATACGCGGCGGAAGAAACGTAACGCACACTGCCTGCAGGACTCGAATCGCCTCTAATTTTGCGAGCAACCAGGCGCGAAGCTAAATTGAAATTTATCTATGCAGCGATACGAGGTGTCTGTGCAGTGCTGTCGAACAAACGAGCGTATACAAATGCGCCTCTATCCCACGCGCGTTAGATCCCTTCAATCTTCGATTCCCAGAAAATTGCATTGCCGATTATATGTATGTAATTCCGAAGGTATACTTTCCATTTTTTTTTTAAATTTAGCACCTATGAATGTTATTTTATAAGAAGTAATAACGCTGCAAAGTAGTATAGATGTAAAGATATATTTGTAAAAAAACCAAGGTACTGTCAACAAGATGTGTTAGCAATAATATGTATAAAATTAGAGTGTATATAATCTTTCTTCATTTCTACTAATTCACCTAAATTGCTATATCTAAATTATATAAGTCTCTTATTAGATAATTACGTCGATAAAATACGATAAAAAAATAGCAATGCATGATGATCTGTCTCGAGAACAGCAGTTATGCTATTTATATATGCGCGGATTAAAATAGATTAACTAAGATGCAAATATACAATTTAATCTTTTACATCAATATGCGATCCCATGTAATAATTATACAGAGTGTCCACAATACAAAAATATCTCTTGATTGCTACTTTAAATAATTTCGGGTGTCACTTCAGATTAGAAATTCAGATATCTTCCACCGTTTAATTTAATTTCTCACTCTCAGCTCTTACGATAAGATTAAATTTGAACTTTGACAAAAAAAGTACTACATTAAAGTGTAATCTTAAGATTAAAATATTATTATTCTGGTACGTGGTTTGACGTTTAATTTTATAATCGCTAAAAGAGAGCAAAGCAATTGATAGATTTACTGATAAATTAACAGCAGCTCTCCATTCCGCTTATAATTCATTCGAGAGAAGCGCGAACAATTCTCTTTTCTAGAGCATCTTGTATAAAGCATTATAGTCTGTACTTAGCAAATCTCTCATCCTACGAAGACTTCCTCGCCGCATCTCATGCGTCTCTAATTAACAGGTGGTGCCATTGTTGCAATCCGGCGGACAGTCCGTCGGCGAGACAGCTGCCGAGATGTGCGTGGAGTATCATTGTTAAAACGTGCGTAACGTGCGACGTTACTCTACCTAATGTGTCGGAAAAAAATTCAGTTCACCGCGATAATGACGATGTAAGTAGATCTGAGATATTGATATTAATTCGTGCGACGCGCTCGCTATATTAATTACGCGCGAGGGACGGAAAAAAAAACATCCCGAAACGTCGCGAAACCGTCCGTCCGTCGTGTTCCACGCGGAGATGGATCCGCGTTAATGTTAACCCGAGTTAACTTTGTGTACGAAGCTGCGAGATATTCGGGGTATCGGGGACCACGACGATCGGACCGACGGCAACGGCGAAACTTCGTAATATACGCAGTGATTTTATACGGAGGTAACGTGATTTCGCGACGAGACGTAACTCACTTATCATGCAATATCGCGCGATAAAGGGAGGTGGCAGAACACCCACCGTCTTCGGCATAATTGCTCCGGATTACGATAAAGCGGCAATGTGGCGCGGCAAAGAGAGTGTGTCAACGGTATTCCGCGAGTGTATAGCGAATGTCACGTGCAAATGTGCGGGTGACACGCAATTTGCGCATTTGAGCACGCAAAAAAAAAACGTCTTGTTAATTGTCGCGATTATCGTTAAGTATTAAAAATAAAGTTTCATGTCGTCGATAATGTCATATTCAACCGTTGCTAATTAAGACTAGCAACTGGGAAATGACATATTGCGCAGTTCTGGGTATCCAAGAATTTTTTTTCCGAAGAGAGAGAGAAAGAGAGAAGCGTTTATGGAGAGGAAAACGAGATGTTGACTGAATGCGAGAAGATTGTACCTCGCGCGTGCACACATATAGCCACACGGGCAACATTAAAGATACCCAAATCTCCATCTAGTGGTTCTTCGGTCGTTGACCTACTTGTTGAGACTCAAAGCAACAGTTTGCCCTTTAAGCTATCTGCATCCCTCTCCATTCACGTCTCCATTCTCTTCTTTCAAAGCCTCTATCGATCGAGCTTCATGAATTTTTTTTATACCTAATTAATCGGCTACTGTGTGTCTACTGCTCCCTCCTCTCACATAGAAATTTTATATTAAAAATCAAAATTGCATTATAACTTCGTCTGATAATTCTGAAAGTATGTCACGTGCTCAAAAAATATTTTTAAGGGAGATGTAAATACATGTATAAATATAAATTTTTTCTCTTATATATATATATGAATATTGTTAATCAATATATGGAACGAATAATAACAAATAAAAAGTTCAGAGAATACCGCGACGAAAACGATGGCCTCATGTTAATTCAAAGAAAATCGAGTCCACGTTTATCAAAGAATCTGTGAATATCTAATACCGTTGAGAGGTACACCCGGTACAGCGAGACATAGCAACCAGAACTAATTGGTTCTTAAAGTAGGAACTAACCCTACGTAGAGCGCAACTTCGTCTGCGGAACAGCAGAGAGAAACTTAAAGGACTGCTTCCCTTCCATTGTTGCCTATAACTCTGCCATTGTACCTACTAGGATCAGCCTAACGTCTGTAATTAGGAACAGATGCAGTAATAATAATCTTTAAAAATGCAACGAAAGGCAGAAATTTTATGCAGGAGGAAACATCTGTACCCGTAAAAACGTATTAAATAAAGAGTTGAATAAAAATTTTCGTCAATTATATATGTATATGATAAAAACGCTAATAATTCATTTAAAAATCAGCAGCTATATTGTATAAAACACATTCTGTTGACACATTAAAATTGAAAAATTGGAGAATATTATTTAAGCGAAAATTAGCACGTTGAGTAATTAATGTCACATTCAAGAGCTCGTGATTTCTATTATTGAAACACGTGCAAGTGAAAAATATTTACTGGTACTTCGCGCACGAGAATTCCGCGACAGTCTCTCCGTTTCTCTCGGTTTGAACCATTCGCGTGAGAGTAAGTTCAATTTCGGAGCGTGTTACTGCGAAACGACGGGATTTTCTATTTCCTTTATTATATGTGAAAAATTCTGGCGATCGCGCGCGCGCGTGCACGCGTGCGCGGCGATTCGCACGCGGAAACGGCCGGCTACGCAGAGTGGTCACGTTTTACAATAAATCCCGCGCGCGTTGACGGCCGACACGACTTTTCTATTAGCTCAAACGACTCAAAACTTTGGTCAGTTGATCTCATGTATGCGGTACGGTAGCGTAATCTCCCTGCCCACGCCGTATGGAACTCACACCATCAGCGCGCGCGTTCCGAATCGACATAACGAGCGTCGATGAGTCGGCAGATCCCCCGCAAGCACTTCATCAAGCGCCCGCTGCCGAGAGGTTGCTGTCAATCGCAAAACGATCACCCCGTCATACCCTTTCAACGACTCGTACCGCCTGTCAACCGCCTCTTCAGAATCCTCGGCGTCTATACGTATCGTCGGCTTTGCGTAAGCGTTTCACCCAAAATTCGCATCTAGTCCTTGCGATTTTACGTCGGGTGTATTAGATAATCGCGAGTATTCCTGTGTCGTCAGAAGAGAAGGTGGGGGGGGGGGATTAGACGTCCATATGGCAGAGATAGAGCATATACACACATGTTCTCATGTTAGATTAAAAAAAAATTAAATACATAAAATAAATTTTGACACGCTCTCCTCCGTAAACAAAGTAAAAAAAAAAATTTTTTAAATAGAAAATTTTCCTTTCGATCGTCAGTAAATATTCGACGGAAGTGACAACTGCTGCCATGTTTTAATGACCAAGTAAATAAAAGAGATTAAAAAGGCTTTTTGTACACGGAAAGAACAATTTTGCTGGATTCAGATCAGAAAATAATTTTTGTTCAATAATCAAAATAATTTTGTTGGAAAGTCAAAACGATTGCCAAAATATCAAAATGTTTTACAGCAACGCCTATCATTTTTAACTTTCCAACAAATTATTTTGATTATTAAACAAAAATTATTTTTAGATCTGTATATTTAGCAAAATTTATAAACCTTTCAACAAAATCGTTCTTTCCGTGTATTATATCGTCGCGCTTTGAAAAGAGTAAGCACATCCATCGTCGCGCGACTCGCAGCGGGAACAAGACGGGCGACAAATCGGGCGGGCGGCGGAAAGGAAAAAAGGATCTCCGTATAGGAATGGAAGGCACACGACGTTAGATCGATCGGCAAAGGGGGGGGGGAGGG